CTTCTCGCAGGAGGGATGGAAACTGAATTCAGACAACAGTACAACGTCGTCTTCTTTCTCTAATAATTTAATGAAACGTCGAGGCTTCGCGCGGGAGGAGGGCAACTGAATTCAGACTAGGAATAATAGTCGAAAGAGGTACAACGAATTGTCTTCTTTCTCTAATAATTTAATGAAACGTCAAAGCTTCTCGCAGGAGGGATGGAAACTGAATTCAGACAAGGATTAAGAGTCGAATACAATACAACGAATTGTCTTCTTTCTCTCATAATTTAATGAAACATCAAAGCTTCCGCGCTTCGCGCGGGAGGGGGGCCAGGGGAAGGGGGGGACTGAATTCAAACAAGGATTAAGAGTCGAAAATAGTATAACTAATCGTCCGTCGTCTTCCTTTTATAATTAAATGAAACGTAATAGCTTCTGCGTTTCGCGCGGGAGGGGCGAAACAAGAATTAGGAGTCGGGAACAGTACGCCGAATCGTCTTCTTACTTTAATAACTTAATGAAGTGTCAAAGCTTCCGACGGAGGGGGGGGGGGGGGGAACTGAAAAATAACTTAGTTCCTTGCCCCGGGTTTATAGGGTTAAATTTTTAGACATTGGGACATTGGCATTAATATATTTGTCGGTAATTGGTGGCTAGTTTTGTCGGTAATCGGTGGCCTATCCACCCCCGTCCCCACACCACTGAAAAAGGTTTAGCGACGCCCTTGATAACAACACAGTTTATACACTCGAGATAATTTTTGCAAGTACTACTGGTGAAGTACCAGACCACTGTCTTTGTGCATTATGCAGCAACGAAGCATATACAACGTCTCGCGTTTTCTAACTTCTAACCAATCAGAAGGCCTCTTTTTTACGGGAAGTGCCGGTGGACATTAATGCGCCACCTGTTGTTCTCAAATTGCAAAAGATCCCTACTCTTGGAGGGGTAGGAGAAAGCAATTTCACATCATAATTTATAACTCCAGGAAGTGCCTGGATATGCCCCTAATAAGGTTCTAAAATTGCAAATGCTTCCTACTCATGGAGGGGCCCGGGTTCGTACCACCTCCCGGACCCCCCCCCCCCCCCCCCCCCCCGCTTGGCCGCTTCGCTCCATCGCCGCTAACGCCTCGCTTTGTCGCATCGCTCCATTTTTTTCCATAAATTTCACGCCATGCGATGTTGTGCTCCCCCGGTAAGAAATTCCTGGATCCGCCACTGATATTATCAGCCCAAAGAGGGAGATAAAAAAAGAAAGAAAAGGTTTCCGACCGACGGACACATGTTCTGGCACCTACAGGGCAATACATTTTTGTTAAGGCCTCATCCATACGAAAATCCGTACGATTCGAATTGAGGACAGAAGATCACCTAATTTTCAGTTTATATGATAAGTAACCTCGGTACCTTGATATTCATGCCAATTAACTTCACTTGCTTTGCTCGCTTTGCTACCTGATCTTAAAGGTAATACAAAGTTTTGGGAAATTTTGAAATTGGCTGGATAGTGACTCTTTACAATTTTGATATATTTGGATGCCCATGTAAATGTATTATAAGCACTAAAAAATTTAGCCCCTAAAACACTTCTGCTTGCGAGAAAAAATGAATATAAAAATTTGCCGGTGTTCCCGGTAAATTTTGATAAATTTCAGATAGCGCCTACGGCCATACAACCGTAGCTGCGACCACTAAAATCTAAGAATATGTAGTTGTGATATATAATTTCCAAACGAAAATAACCAATCGGTCGATCATAGTCAAGAAACATTGTTTTATAGTTAAATTAATATTTTGACCTCGAGAGTGAGCTATACAACATAAAGAGTTAATTATTTACAATTTAATCATTTTAGACTCGATTTCAACCGCGACAACGATCACTGAATATTGTAGGATCGCATATGCTTCCAATATGTTCATTTGAAACAAATTCATGACCCCATACCAAAACTGTGATTTACCTTTAAATACTTTAGCCCCCCCCCCACCCCTTCCCCACTTTGACAAAAGTTCCGTGGGGCCTGCATGTAACATGTAAGAGTGATGGTGGCACAGATTTTTTTTTCTAGCTGCCCCCCCCCCAAAAAAAAAAACGTTTTTGCTAATTACGCCACTGGCCCCTCACGCTCACTATGCTCCCTCGTCCTTCGTATTCGTCTCCCCCCCCCCCCCCCCTGGTCATGAAAAGAAATCGCCGCCCCTGAATACAACATTTGTCTCATTTTCCCTGAAATCTAAGGAAGACCTATAATTATTATAGTCGATGTAGCACGTAATTTTTTTGTTTGTTTGTTGAGATCGGCGAGATGTACCGTTATCGACCGAACGGTGTCTGTACGAGTGCGAATCGTATGATGGGCGAGATTAAATGATACGGGTTCATTCGTCTAGAGTCTTCTCGCGTGTAATCTTTATGGTCATGTGATTCATGTAGACTGCTACAGTTTAGTACAGATCAGATCAGATCTGAATTTTCAGGAGAGTTTAGCTGCACGTAAGTCAGTATTTTATATCATTATTATAGCCACATAATTAATTAAATAATTGACATTTTACGTGGTGGAAAATTTACTGCCTATAACTTCATTTAATACTTTATTTAGTAATGCTTTTGGTATGAATAATGATGAATAAAGGTTCTAATTCAGGATTTTGAATTTGACTTGGCATGATCATCCAATTTCCATTGAGAAGAATTGCCAAAACAGGTGAATGAATTGACGGATTACCCCGCCCCTTTTTTTTTCTTCTTCTTCTTCATTTAATTAAATTGAGTGTTGGAGCTGGAGTGGGACAGTGTCTGAGCGTGTGAGTCATGGATCTATAGGTTTTATTTGATATCAATCACTGTGACTTGTGAGTGATTTAATCATCCATGTCCAGGATTCACTTAGACCGAAAGCTTCAGTCTCTATACCGTCGGTTGTTCCACTGAGACTACGTCTGGCTCCACTAGACCTCCGGTTATAGAGACTGAACGATCGCCTATGCCAGCCTATGTTGAAGATATCACGGCTAGATTTTAGCCGCTAGGCCCCTCCCGCAAACATGACAAACTTGCCACGGCCGTATTTGTTATGCCCCCAAAATCCCCCAAAATGTCATTTTACCTCGTCCATATTCAATTTTAAATTAGGCCTAGGCTAGGAAATTATGGGTCAAAATCGACATCCATGTTGAAAATCTTGCAAGCCGTGTTAAACTCTCGCTGCCGTCAATCTCATCCCTTCTAGTCTACGCCGAAGGCAAAATGATAATGAAGGAAAAACTGTGCGCCATCTACACGTTCGTAATGGCGTTATGCCGTTATCACAGTATTTTCCTTCATAATCATTTTGCCTTCGGCGTAGACTAGAAGGGATGAGATTGACGGCAGCGAGAGTTTAACACGGCTTGCAAGATTTTCAACATGGGTGTCGATTTTGACCCATAATTTCCTTAAAAGGGACCATTAAACGGATTATTTCCATCAAATTAGTAAGTGGAACCGATGTATTATAGCCTAGGCCTAATTTAAAATTGAATATGGACGAGGTAAAATGACATTTTGGGGGATTTTGGGGGCATAACAATACGGCCGTGGCAAGTTTGTCATGTTTGTGGGAGGGGCCTAGCGGCTAAAATCTAGCCGTGATATCTTCAACATAGGCTGGCATAGGCGATCGTTCTGTCTCTATAACCGGAGGTCTAGTGGAGCCAGACGTAGTCTCAGTGGAACAACCGACGATTATAGAGACTGAAGCTTTCGGTCTAGGATTCACTTTGCTTCGCATGGTCACGGTAAAGAGTCCTGCATTGGTGGAGTTCACTAGACACTAGATCTAGTGGACACTTCTTCTCATACAAAGCATTTGAAATCGGTCAAGAATTTAACCAAACAGTGAGATTTGATACTGGACTGATAGCGATTTGCATACCTTCCCGTCAGTGCTTCAACATGCTCCTGAAGTGATGATAATTAATTTGGGTCTAAGGTACACATTCAAAAAATGCTAACGAGAGTTTGCGATATTGGTTTTGACTGAAATGCAAAGAAACTATTTATGCGTTGCTAATTTGATACATGGTTTAAGATTAATAGCGATCATCAGTGTAGAGGTGTCGTGGACGAGTGGATACGTCGCTGGACTGTCGATCACAAGGTCCGCGGTTTGAATCCCGCCGCGACACTATCCTTTGGCAATATATTCTACATTTGCCACACTCCACCCAGGTGAAGTAAATTGGGACCGGTATGAAAGATTTCCTTGAATGCTGTGAGCACCGAAATCGGTAGCCTAGCAGAGCCAGGGTAATATTGGAGCGCTTTGAGCACCTTGCAGGGTGGATATATGCGCTACATACTGTAAATATCCAGTATTATTATTATGAAAATGGCAGGCGCCCAGGGAGTTTGCTAAATTCAGCACACTCTGTACTTTGTACACTAAACAAATGGCTATTATCGAGTGCCTTATCAGGGTAGCACAGCTATTGATGTGGTAATAAAGCACTTATATGAATGTTATTATTGATTATTGAAGAGAAGGTTGAGTTCCGGGAAGAGGTGAACAATAATTTGTGAGCGTTATCAGTAAGTGTGGAAGAACATCAGAGAAAATATGTCCTATGAAATGCATGGCTCTTCAAATGCCTTAATATTCTAAATATGGCATGTAACATCGTAGAAATTGAGACAGATTTTTATGCCACATGGTTGTGTAGTCCCTTATGCATCTTTCTGTGTACAGTGCTTGTAACTTTATCAAGACTAGGCAAAATTCTTATCATTTTGATGATTCCAGACCCTTGCAGTACGCACCAATACTTACAATGTACATTGTACATGTACAGTATATGCTAGATGATCAACCTTTTCTGATCGTTCCACAAAGTTTCTTTCACAATGCAATCACATGACCAGAACTCAACTGTATCTTTAAGTCTAGGTTTATTTCTGTGTGATGCTGTATTAGATTTTTTTCCTTTTCATTGTTTGCAGAACGGGAAATTTAGTGAAATCATTTCATCATGCTAAAAGTGGCAGACAATGAGAAAGAGAGCAAGTATGGCTACGTCTTTGCTGTGTCAGGACCTGGTAAGTCTTTCTCTAAAATTCACTGAAATGTTCCTGTAGATTGAAAAAGAGATGAATGCTTTAAACACCACCACATGCAACTTGTTTCCTCATCTCATACATGTAGAAGTCAGAGATGCCAACCAGTACGATTAAATCGTATTTAGTACGATAATAAGAGTGAAATACGATTCTTAAAATCTTAAAATATGATTTATTATTCAAATTTTTTTTTAACCCAGCAGAATCTCATGAAAACATGTACAAGTAAACCCCAACAAAAAGTTTGCTTTGCAATTTTCTCATTAAATTTTTAATGAAAAGCAAACATTTTTCTAAATTTTACTGGCCCAAGGCTGACGGGCCAGTGGTAGTGTCAAGTTTTTGTGAAAATCTGATTTTTGAGGATAGTCAGTCTGTTTTTTTGTGTGTCAAGAGGTTGGCATCTCTGAGAAGTGTCATAGTCGAGTGGTTTAAGCACTTGACTTTACAATGTATATTCAAAGGTCGTGGTTCGATCCCCGATACCACACTAATGTCCTTTGGCAAGGCGGTAAATGGGTACCTGGTAGGAATTAATTCCTTGAAATGCTAGAGTGCTGTAATGGCAGCTAGGCTAAAGCCGGGGTAATAATAAATGCGCCTCGGAATAGAATTTCTAGATAGACGGCGCTATAGAAATGAATTATTACAATTATTATGTACATGTACATGATGGTGATGATGGTGATGGTGATAATGGTTGTGATGATGATGGTGTAGGTGATTATGGTGAGGATAGTAGTAGTGATGAAATGTTGATAATGGTGATGGTGATTAGTACTGTAACATCACGGATACCCCCAATACCGTTTAACCGCCAGTCAAAACCGGACAGTTTTCGGTTAAACGATTTAAAAAAATTATTAGAAATAATTATTAAAAAAAAAAAAAAAAAAAAAAAAACAGGAAAACGAAACCGTCCAATTGAAAACGGAATCCGCCATGGGCGGTCGGATACCGGACGGTTAAACGTTTGACTACAGCACTAATGGTGATAATGATGGTAGTGATGGTGATTGTAATGGTCGTGGTAATGGTGATAATTGTGGTAATGGTGATTGTCATGATGATGATGGTGTTGTACCGGTATACATGTACATGTACATGTATGCATGAACATACATTCAATTTATCAAAAGACTGCTGAGATTGAAAAGATTTTGCAAGGTACAATCATACAATGTAATGTATCAATTCTAAAAACATACTTGACCTAGCCTATACAGGTGTCAGTAAAATTGTCTGTCGATATAGAAGACACGTACTACAGAGTGTACACATGTATTATAGTTATTATTAAATCAGCGCCTTCAACTGCAACTGGAGGTAAAATTGCATGCGTTTACGGCGATGGATTTGGGATACTGCTCCAGTGGTATGGTAGTGGCAAAAAAAATAAAAAAATTCAACAACAAAAAATCAAAAAAATTCTAAAAAATTCTAAAAAACATGGCGTCCGAATATTCAAGTATTCGCTTGTAAGCCTGGGAGTGTACTCGGGTACCTCATTACACTGTTGTGCACAGCCTTAATAGTTATCATTATAGAAATACAGCTTTTCAATATTTATATATCAATTGTGAACAACTTGTTACATTATAATTTGAAAGACAGTTTTAATCTACATGTACATGTACATTGACTATATGTCCTCAGCTGTTTACACTAATTTACTGAATTTTTTAGGACTCTTGAATATTTACTATTCAAAAAATTTCCTACAGAGTACATGGAAAAGCAGATGTTGAAATATGATCCTTGTGACCAGGAAATTAATTCTGCACCTGTGTGAAAAAAGTACCTTCAAGATTATGATAGTGATAATACAATCACAATGCCAGCCCTTTTGCATCTGTTCTAGTTGTGTTGCATACATGTGTGTAATATAGTAGTCCTTAGATTCTAGTATTAGATGCTGGTATACGAGAAAGGTGAATTTGGCCCACAACCAGTTTGTGGACTACTCAATTGGTCTATTCTAAAATGGTCTACACCCAGTCTGTCTACTATCGGTATCCACATGGTCTAATAATCATGTTGTCTACTTATCATTTGGTCCATTGACCATTTTTAAAGCTAATAGTCATTTGGTCTAATTTCTATATATCTCTAATTTGATTTAGTCTAATAACCAGTTTGTCTAATTCCCAGTTTCCATAATGTCCATTTTCTCTACCATCTGTAAGATATAATGATCATTTGATGATGATTATTATTATTATAATAAAAAGATTTTTAGAGCATATAAATAGTAGAAAAAATGGGCATTATACATGGGAATTAGACTGACTGGAAATAAGACTACCGGTAAATGAGCAATAGACCAAATGGTTATTACCGGTAGACTTATTTAAGGCAAGACCAAATTAACATTAGACCAAACGACTATTAGCCTGGTCATGAGTCCAAATGATAAGTAGACTAAATGATTATTAGACCATTGTGGGTAGTAAACAGGCTGGATGTAGACCAAATGGGAATAGACCAATTGGGTAGTAGAAGAACTGATTGTAGAGCCAACGGCAATAAACCCATCTGTATCCTACTATGTTGTGTTGCATACATGTACATGTGTTATTATACTTAAAGTGGTTTGTTAGATTCTAGCATTAGATGCTGGTATACAGGAAATAGCGTGTATCTGTACTTGTGATTTCCTGTGGGCTGAATCAATGACTAGAAATGAAACATTATATAATCCACAGATATTACTCACCTCCTTTTCCCATTGGATAGTGCACTTTTATGTAATACAATGTTTAGAAAATATTTATCAAGCATGGTTGACATGTTTTTGAGCATTTCATCTTTAGATGGTTGACATGTTTTTGAGCATTTCATCTTTAGATGGTTCCGCTTGATTTCAGTGTCAATCCATTTAGGAAAAAGTGTTATTTACATCAGTGAAAAAATACACGGGGGCTTGGGGCGAAATAGCCCCCGAAATGCCCCAAAGATCCCCCGAAAATCAGAAAAGAGCCCCCATTAATTTGCATAGAGTTCAATGCAAAACAAATTTAGAATGTTTTATTCATGCAGGCAAGCTTGAAAATAAGCCCCCGAAAAATAATGTAGAATATACCGTACGTGTTTGTGATCTTTAAATGAATATTTATACTCACTGTTATCAAAACAAATCACATCTAATGATAATAATAATGATAAGAATAGTAATAATGATGCTACTACTTTTACTACTACTACTTCTTATACTACTACTACTACTTCTACTACTACACTGTACTACTGCATAAAATTAGTAGAAAAACAAAAGTATTGACATGTATCTATGAGAGTACATGTATAGTTCTTATAAACCTCAACAGAAAATATTTAAAAGCATTAAAAATAAAAATGTTCTTCTTTCTGCTCTGTCATTGTACTCGCATCATTGCATGTGGTGTTAAAGATTATAAGTGAAATAATTGATACGCGAAATGACAAAATTTGGTACGTTATTGTTTTCACAGACCAAGTTGTAACCCCTTTATTTATGTATTATAGGTATAAGCCATAAACATTTTTATACAAAAGAAACCAGATAGGATGAATGCAAATCAAGTCTGCCAGTACCTTTCAACATGTGAAAAACACTGTCATATTGACAATGCTCCATTGCAGTTTTTCATAGCACTTCAACTTTCAATAACACACCAAATATATTATATTATATAACATCTAAGTAGATCCTTGTCATTCAATTGGAGGATTGTTGGTCACATGGTATTCAATAAATACTCTTTTGAACGACTACGTCATTGAGCGTGCATTTTTAGTTCCATGCATCCGGTACTGTTGGCCGTAGTTGTGACGGTAACCCTGCAGCACAACCTTTGACACGTACAGTACAATCACAAGCAGACGATCAGGGTGATCATGGAATAGGTGTATATAAAATAAATGTATACAAAAACAAAAAAATAATGTTTTTCATTCGTTCAATATAAAGCGCAAATATTTTCATTTGTTGAAAGCTTAACGGTCTATTAAACTTGGCTGACATCTCGTAGAATAGAATGATATCTTTGGATTCATGAAAATGTTTGCACTATTGAAGAACTCATAGTATACATGTACTTGTATAATAACTGTTCTATTTCTCTCTCTCTCTCTCTCTCTCTCTCTCTCTCTTTCTTTCTCTCTTGTTGATACTAGTTGTTACAGCAGAGCGTATGTCCGGAGCAGCTATGTACGAGCTGGTGCGTGTGGGTCACAGTGAGCTGGTAGGAGAGATCATCAGACTGGAAGGAGATATGGCCACCATTCAGGTCTACGAAGAGACATGTATCCTTTCACAGTTACTACTATGTGTAGGCGTGTATCAGAGGGCATTTGTAGAAATGGTCACCATTCAGGCCTGTGCTCCCTTTTTCAATCAAAATATAGGGCAGTGTTAGTGAGAGTTTGTAAGTCATCTTTTAGGGCCATGAGGGGACATTTAAATAAACCCTTTCTCAATATAGCATTGTAATAGAGGAAATTTGTAGATATGGTCTCCACTCAGATCTATTAAGAGACATGTATCCTTTCTCAATCAGTGTAACATGTAGCCATGAATAAGGGATTTGTAGAAGATGGTACCATTCAGGTCCATGAAGAGAGATATGTATCCTTTCTCAATCAGTACTAACATGTAACCATGTACAAGTGAGGATTTGTAGGAAATGTTACCATTCAGGTCTATGAGGAGACACAGCTCCTTTCTCAGTCAGTGTAATATGTAACCATGAATAAGGGGACTTGTAGAAAATGAAACCATTCAGGTCCATGAAGAGGGCATCTATCCTTTCTCAATCTTTGAAACGGGTCAATTCCAGTATGACAGACGGGATATCCAACCCTCTCATTTTGATGTCTGTACCTAATATTTTTTTATATTGATGTAGAGTGTACAAACATACCATAATCTGATTATAACTCTCAAACTAATGCTCATAGAATAGTGTACCCGTCTCAAGAGGTGGATTATTCCTGGCACGCTCACCATCTCAGCTTTTTAGAAACATTTCCTAAAAATACATTCCGATAGGGGTTACTTTCTGGGTCCACTCTGGAAAGACAATATTTTGATTTCCTGTGTCTCCCGTAGAAACATGCTGAATGAGATATTCCTTAACAGTTCCTTGACCTCTCACAGCTGGTGTGAGTGTTGGTGACCCTGTCCTGAGGACGGGCACTCCGCTGTCCGTTGAACTCGGACCGGGGATCCTGGACAACATCTTTGACGGGATCCAACGTCCTCTCCAGGACATCAACGACCTGACCCAGAGTATCTACATTCCACGTGGTGTCAACGTCAAAGCGCTCAGTCGCACCAAGAAGTGGGATTTCAAACCGTATCCAGGAATCAGGGTAGGTCCACATAAATTGGTACAGATAGATTGGTCCAGATAGATTGGTCCAGTTAGATTTGTCCAGATAGATTGGTCCAGATAGATTGGTCCAGATAGATTGGTCCAGATAGATTGGTCCAGATAGATTGGTCCAGATAGATTGGTCCAGATAGATTGGTCCAGATAGATTGGTCCAGATAGATTGGTCCAGATAGATTGGTCCAGATAGATTGGTCCACATAGATTGGTCCACATAGATTGGTCCAGATAGATTGGTCCAGATAGATTGGTCCAGATAGATTTGTCTGGATAGATTGGTCCAGATAGATTGGTCCAAATAGATTGGTCCAGATAGATTGGTTCAGATAGATTGGTCCAGATAGATTGGTCCAAATAGATTGGTCCACATAGATTGGTCCAGATAGATTGGTCCAGATAGATTGGTCCAGATAGATTGGTCCAGATAGATTTTTCTGGATAGATTGGTCCAGATAGATTGGTCCAAATAGATTGGTCCAGATAGATTGGTCCAGATAGATTGGTCCAGATAGATTGGTCCAAATAGATTGGTCCACATAGATTGGTCCAGATAGATTGGTTCAGATAGATTGGTCCAGATAGATTGGTCCGGATAGATTTGTCTGGATAGATTGGTCCAGATAGATTGGTCCAGATAGATTGGTCCAGATAGATTGGTCCAGATCATAGAGATATATACTTAATAAGGCTAGAGTGCGGACTCGTCATACGCGCCCGTTCAAAGCTCTGTGCGCGCATGGAGCGCGGTCCGCCATTACTAAGGAGGGCACAACTTCGAGAAATACCCGGATGTTCCCTTCGAAACTGTGCTACTGATATGCAATGTGAAGCTTCATTTTTCGGGTTGATTTATCGGTTTTCGAGTATGAAACGTTATAATTGTGGTATTTTGCATAATGCATGAACCCTACTCATGCCTCAGTCATGGTATCTGGTGTAGGTCAAGATTAATTACGGATGTTATGGTGAGGTAAAAGGGACACAAAAAGCTATTTATATTTCAGTATATCTTCAATTTTTCTTCCTCTTTGTCAACATAAAACTGCGATATTATGACATTAAATATTACTTGGCTTTCAACCAATCAGAATCAAGCATTTGGGACTTGTATTTGATATTTATGTCATGATATTAAACAAAGTTTTATGCTACAGGGCCAATGCCGGGGGCCAATGTCTTTCTAATTCAGTTATTATGAGAGCCAGGGTTTATTGATTTAAAATGCTTTAAAGGTAATATATTCATTTTATGTTTATGACTATTATAAACAGATTGATACTTATAGATTTGGGATAGAGATGGGTATGTAGATAGCTAGACACATAAATAGATGGATAGATAGATATAATATAGAAGGATAGGTAGATAATGGAAATGCAGATAAAGGACGATACTGAAGATAGGAAGAGGGGGAAGGAAAGAATTAAAGGCCTACACATTTATTTTAAAAAATTATGTTATTTACTCATCCAATCATTCTTCCATCCATCCAAACATTCTTTTTCTTCTTCTCTCACTCATTTTATATCAAATTCACACCTTATGTCTTTCACCCATTCTCTATAAAATCTCTATTTTTGTCTGAAAGAGTAATTCAATTTTTTACAGTTCACTATAAATATATATGAATATTCTTTAAAAACAGCTGATCATTGATGTAATAATTATTTATTCAAACCACTTTTTTTCTCCATAAATAATATTCTCCTTGATACAGTGTATTTCTTATTTTCTTCATCAACCAGTTTTAGAGAATAAACTTATAATTAAATTTGAAGAAAAAAATGAATAAATGAACCTTTTATTACCACACGGCACACGTGTGTTGATATTCTACAGCATAGGCATTTAAGTTTTGACATTTTATCGGACATATATACTGCAATAATACATCACAATTGAAAAGACAGACATTGCAAAAACAACACCTCAGATTTTAGCCCAAAATTTACTGTCACGGATCATAGGCAACACAACCACAACAAATTGATTCGCCACCAAAGACAAGCATTACACATCCCAAAACCGCCACAATAACTCCCAAAACATAAATGTCAGGAGGCCAATGTCTATGTTTCAAGATGTCAGCGAAAACAAACACTTTATTAACTAGTCTTGGCTCCAAGCGCACGCCGGCGCGTCACATTTACAAATAATACATCGAGTAATAAATGCAAACCAGAAATAGTAATTGAGCATATATATTCCAAGTCACCTGTATTGCTATGAAGAACTATAATTGAAGAGACTTACATCTCAGGATACTGCACTACACTATTCAGTGAAACCTCATAGTAACATGGTCTTTTGACATCATTATTCATCAGGTGTAATAATAAATTTGAAACTGATTACCCTCAAATGTACACAGTAGATACAACAAGCCAAAGAGTGCACAATCTTATGGGTTTACATCTAGTGACATTATTCCATATAATTTTTCTGTTATCAAATCTCTTCAAAAGCAGTTTTCCATTTTGGAACAAAATTCAAACCTATGTACAAAACGATCTATGGGTGTGTATATGGTGTGCATAACACAGGCTTTTCAATTGCCACACATCTGTGAATTCTTCTCGTTTATTAAAAATGGGCTCACTTGATGTGAATTTCTTGCTTTTCATCTTTAATGATGTAAATCACTTGGTTGAGAGCAATCCAGACAATGTTATAAAAAAGGTCTACATGTTTATCTCAGGTTATCCATACTGTACCTGCAGAATCAAAGCACATGTAGAGTGCAAATAATTTGCAAAAATTTGTCGCTGTTTTCACGAAGTGACGGTAGTGAAAAAAAAATGCATTCACTTTGCGTTACGATTTTCCTCACTACCGTCACTTCCTGAAAATAGGGACGAATTATAGCAACTGAATCAGATACAGCAGGTACAATCATGAAGCTTATAGAGTAAATATTCAAATACAGTTTACCTCACACCAACTCAAAATTCAAGTACATTTTGTTTAACCCCTAATGTAATCAATTCTTCTAAGTTCCACTTTAGTTTGCCTTCGTGTAAAGTTAACAAACAGAAAATTATGGTTAGGTTGTGCAACTGTCACAATGTGTCCCCAAAATTTTATTTCATTACACAGAACAAAAGTCTCAGATTGTTCTGTTTTTTTAAAAGATTATTGAAAGCTCTCTCCAGTTTTAAACGGCTTCACAGTCAATCATCCAGTGGATAAGCTATGCAGACAAGAGGCAAAATATAAAAGACCGATCTGTCTTTGTAGTTTGTACGAATGAAGTTCTATGTTTTGTTTTGTTTTTCCTGAAAATGCGTTCTCTCCAAAGTTGTGTTGAAGTAGGTCAAGCTGATCCTGGCTAATGAGCTTGCTTTCGTGGACTTCCTGCAAGAGAGTCCTGGTTTTTCCATCTCTCCTGTTTACCTTGTTTCACCACTTTAAGCTGTTTCTTGGCATCCTGCACTTGCTGTCTGGTTATATTCAGTTTCTAATCAACTCAGACAGAAAAAGAATAGTCATGTTCTTTTGTAATGTCATAGGGTTTCTTTGGAGGCACAGGAACACTTTCGGATGTTGTACATGGTTTTGCTGGGAGTCTTGAGCCATGGGTCTGTTTATAGGGAGGATGTCCAGGAAAGACAGTAGGCACAGCTCTAAGAATGAGAATGGTGTGTAACATCCTTTTCCTCTCTTGGGTGTATTCCTGCATTACAATGAAAGCAAATGGAAACAATAATGAGTTTTTTCTCATAACATGACAATTGTTCTACTATTCATGCTATTTCATGTGATTTTTAAGACTGAAACTGAAAGCAGCTTCCAGCCAAATAAATAAAATAATAATGATGTCAGCAAGTCATAAGCAAATTTGATAGAAATAGTGTAGTGTGCGGTGGGATTTTTAGGCTAGCCTAGCCTAGTTGGATAACTCCTGTGATGTGAAATTTGGCAGGCTAGCCTGGCTTAGACCAAAAGCTTCAGTCTCTCTATATCGTCGGTTGTTCTACTGAGACTGCGTCTGGCTCCACTAGACCTCTGATTATATTATGGGGAATGTCAACAAATGTCAGTTTTATTAAAGAAATGACCCATATCAGACGGTTATTTCTGTCTAACCTGGCTTTGCCTTTCGGGCTTTAGAAATTAGAGAGTAGAGTTTAGATCTAGAGTCTAGATCTAGATCTAGAGTCTAGTCTATAGTTAAAATATAGATCTAAAGAAGTTGACATTTGATTTTTATCTTGAAATTAGATAAGATAAAATTAATTGTATCGTTTTATTCTAGACTTTTCTTTAATAGAATCAAGCTCATGGAGTTATATTTCCGAGTTGGACTCTCTGGCCCTTGGAGTTGCGAGCGACTCCAGCGCAGCAGAATTTTCCCCATCACCATCCCCAGAACCTAACCCATGCCTGCCCCAGCCCGGCGGGCGTGGACTGGCGCGCTCCGCTGCTGCAGGAGCTGCGGTGGCTTGTCATGAGACAACCCGGGTACAGACTACAGTCACTGCATAAACTGCATTTTTAGCTCTAAAATCTCCTTATTAATCAACATAACATTAAGAAGAACTTACTTGTGAAATATTATGCAGTTCCCTTTCTTTCTTCGGTTCGAACATCCAAATGCAACGCACGAACCTGGCTTCTCCAATTTTTTCCACGTATGTTGTGCACAGTATCTTGTTGGGTCGTTCGTTTTTCTGCCCTCCTTAGTAATGGCGGCCACAGCTCCAGGTCCACACAGCAATTTGAGCGAGTACGCCCTCTAGTGTTATTAAGTATATATCTCTATGGTCCAGATAGATTGGTCCACATAGATTGGTCCAGATAGATTGGTCCAGATAGATTGGTCCAGATAGATTGGTCCAGATAGATTGGTCCAGATAGATTGGTCCAGATAGATTGGTCCAGATAGATTGGTCCAGATAGATTGGTCCAAATAGATTGGTCCAGATAGATTGGTTCCGATAGATTGGTCCAGATAGATTGGTCCAGATAGATTGGTCCAGATAGATTGGTCCAGATAGATTGGTCCAGATAGATTGGTCCAGATAGATTGGTCCAAATAGATTGGTCCAGATAGATTGGTTCAGATAGATTGGTCCAGATAGATTGGTTCAGATAGATTGGTCCAGATAGATTGGTCCAGATAGATTGGTCCAGATAGATTGGTCCAGATAGATTGGTCCAGATAGTTTTGTTCAGATAGATTGGTTCAGATAGATTGGTCCAGATAGATTGGACCAGATAGATTGGACCAGATAGATTGGACCAGATAGATTGGTCCAGATAGATTGGTCCAGATAGATTGGTAATATAAGGTATATCGGGCAATATCTTCTGCAATGCATGACACCAGATCAATTCCAATCATTTCTGTGAGAGATATAAAAACACCTTTTTTTACAGCTTCCTTAACATACATGTAGACCACTTTGGATCAGTGTGAAACCCTGGCTCTCTATGCAATGTATTTCTAGCTCTCATTTATTTTACTCTGTAATTAGGGTTACCCAGATAAAGATCAAACTATTAATGAGAAATTTCCAAAAGTAAATGGAACTAAACTAAATCACAGAATGGATGCGTGTATCAGGGCTTAAATTAATCCAAGGCCACCAGGGCCATTGTCCTATTTGTGCTGTAATATAGGAATGTGCCCTACAGAAAAGTGGCCTTGCCCTAAAAATATTGAAATTTAAGGCCTGATGTATTTTACAGTTACATTGACATACCGGTATACATGGATATCCTAAAGATAATATTTCTGCCTCAAAATTATGCATATGATTAGTTTAAATGTAACAAGGATTTCAGTTTCTGCTGAGCTTTTGTTTCAGACGCCGCGCTTTATATTATAAACAACCGTTTTGTTACAGACCGAATCCTTTCTTGACCTTTGCCCTGTTCATGACCTTTGACCCATCTATGACCTTTAACCCTTGTACAGGTTGGCAGTCACATCACGGGTGGTGATTACTACGGGACGTGTCCGGAGAATACCCTGATTGAGCATCGTCTCATGCTACCGCCAAAGGCCAGGGGTACAGTCACATGGATTGCAGAGCCAGGTTTATATACTATCACGGTGAGTACGGAAGCCCATTCGGCCTACCTTAAAGAGAAGGTTGAGTTCTGGGAAGAGGTGAAAAATAAGTTGTGAGCATTATTATTCTTATTATGCAAGTGTGGAAGAACATCAGATAAGACATGTTCCCTGAAAAGCATGGCACTTCAAATGCCTTCATATTCTAAATATGTCATGTAACATCGTAAAATTCCAGGGTAGGATTTTTACACCACATGTTCTTGTATCTTTCTGTGTACAGTGTTTGTAACTTTACCAAGACTTGGCCAAATTTCTTATCATTTTGATGATTCCAGAACCTTGCAATACAATTCTTATATGCTAGATGATCAACCTTTTCTGGTCGATTCCACACCGTTTCTTTCACAATGCAATCGCATGACCAGAACTCAACTTCATCTTTAACTGTGTAATATTGTAAAATCCCCCTCACCCCCGTCCTGGGGCCATATTCTGAAAACTATGTAATCTTTATACAGTAGGCTGACGGTTGCACCATATGAGAGAGGGAGGATTAGACTGAAAAGGACTGTTGGTTTTCCTTCTTGAGCTTGTTGTTCTAAAGAGAACTATAGCGCTGGTAGGAGAGGATGTTATCTTTGTTGTTAGGGAAAATTATGTGAATTGTCAAAACAAACTGAAAATACCTTAAACTAAAACTTTCAATTGGTGCTTGCGCAGATGTTTCTTTTAAATTTGTGCAAACACGGTCAGCTTTGGACAGACATTTACCACTGACTTGCCCTGATTCACTCCGACAATTAAAATCTTTAATCTTACATCAAAGATAACAATCATTTTCAGATTAGGACCCCAGGATATGCCCCAAAAGCATGTACATGTACGAGTGATGAACAGAAATATGGTTAAGAGATCTGAATATGGTCTTCAAACACCACATTTTGTGTTTCCCTTGGGCGGTCGCTATAGTCAGGTCTGACTGTACAAATGATGAAGAGAAATATGTATCAGAAATCTGGATATGGAATGAAAAAAATTTGCTTCTATTTGTGATAATTGAATATGACCTTCTTCATTTTTGCGCAGGACGTTGTCTTGGAAACAGAGTTTGACGGACAAAAGACCAAACACACCATGCTTCAGGTATGGCCAGTACGTACCATCAGACCTGTCTCGGAGAAGCTCCCAGCCAACTACCCCCTCCTCACTGGACAGAGGGTTCTGGATGCTCTCTTCCCGTAAGTTCCGCTCTTTAATAGCGAGTTTTCGCAACCGGCGACGCAGCCTTCTACAACGCTAATCTTCGCAGGGTCTCACTCAGAGCAAATTTTTTCCCATAGCGTCCAAACCTATGACGGAATTCAGCTGTAATAACGTCGGGAGAGTCGAGCTAGTACAGGGTGGCGAGCTCATTTAAATACCCGTAGTCAGCACTTGCGTCACTGTGCGAAAACTCGCTATTGATTCAACCTCCTCAGGTCTGTTCACATACGACGCACAAATCCACAGCGTTTTTTTAAAAGCCCATCTGTACTACTTGTAGCTACTTGCTCCCTCTATATAGAAAACGATGCCTAATTGGTGACCATTGGTCCCCCATGATCCTCTTTTTCCTATGTTAATTGAGAGCTGAGTTGATGAGATAGCCACCTGTCAGTGACCTTCCTGGGTGGTCTAAACCCTCCTAGCAAACTAGTACAGAAGGCCTTTAAGAGGGAGGTGTCGTGGTCTAGTGGATATGTCACCAGGACTGTGGATCACATGGTTTGTGGTTCAATTCCCGCCATGGCACTAATGTCCTTATGCAAGATATTAATCTACATTTGCCACACTTGACCCAGCTGAGGTAAATGGGTACCTGGCTGGATTTAAATTCCTTGAAACGCTAGAGTGCCATAATGGCTGCCATGCTTAAGCTAGGGTAGTAATTGTGGAGCGCGGGGAGTGTAAAGTCTCACATGAACGCTATACAAGAACCCACTATTATTATTATTATTATTATTAAAGCATAATACGCTTTGCATTTCTATATCTCCTAATGCATACATGTAGATAGTGAGTCTGTGTGGGATCTTTGTTGCACTAACTATTTCATTCTCACTTGTTATTTATTTACACGTTAAAAAAAAAAAAAAAATGGTTTCCTGTGTATGAACGAGTCTTTAGTCATAAGCTCCAACATTTTCTGAAGGGATGAATGAGTCATCTGTTCATATATTTCTTTTACAAATTGACAACTCAGTGTAGATTTTGGACAAAGTGTCTTGTATCTATTGCTAAGCTTGTATGACTTAGTATGTAGTATTACAGCCAAAAAATAGCAAATTTGTGAATACTATGATCAAAGACGGGTCAACCATACCACAGTAGTAATAGTTACATTTTCTGTGATTAATACAATATATATTGTATAAAGAGATTCCATAGGTCTAAAGATAACTTGTGTTAGTCATGTATGCACAGGAAATACTAATGCATAACACTAATTACTTATTTAAGCAACTCTGTTTAAATAGGAAAACAATTTTCATATTGGATATTAAGTAAGTAAGATGATTTGGATAAGATATTGCATTGGTGTGCCAAATCTATGTTATTCAAATCAGAATCAAAAGTCACTCTAACAGTACAGGTATCTAATGAACACTATTTCTGCTTTCTATCCAGGTGTGTTCAAGGTGGAACGACTGCTATCCCAGGAGCCTTTGGGTGCGGAAAGACCGTCATCTCTCAATCGCTGTCCAAGTATTCGAACAGTGACGTCATCGTCTACGTAGGATGTGGTGAACGTGGCAACGAGATGTCTGAAGTGTTAAGAGATTTCCCAGAGGTAAGCAGCTTCAATCGAGTGACTCTCTCATTTTGAGTCTTGGGGAGTGTTTCACAAAGATCCTAAGTCGAACTTAACTCTAAGTTGGACTTAAAAATTATGGAGAGCCATTCGTAGCCTTAAAATAAAATATATTTAAAAGTGAAAACTCAAGTATTTTAGACTTTTATCAATTCCACATCAAGAACACAAAATCTCCTTGATAATAGAAAATATGAATGATTTGTATTAACATTTTATGCCCATTTAAATAACTTTTAAAAATATTTTCAAAGATGCCAACGGCTTTCCATAATTGTTAAGTCCAACTAAGACATAAATTCAACTTTGGATCTTTGTGAAACACCCCCCTGTTTGACTCCGGTGTCATCAGTTTCAGTGTGCTTTCCAGATCATGGTCCTGTTTCATAAAGCTTGTTATCAACAGCTTACAACAATTGTTATAAGCTACTGAAATCATGGCATTTGATTGGCTGAAAGCAAATTTATCGTAGAAATTCATCCTTGGCCATTGATAAATAGTTAAATTTGTTGACGCCAGACTTGTTGCTAATACTATTAATTGGTGTTGCACACAGCAAACCCATAGGTCTATCAAGAAATCCCCCGTCTTTCAGATAGTCTTCAGGTTTAAAACCGGAGTGTTGGCTCAGTCAGTAGAGCGTCCGCCTCACAACCGGGAGGTCGTGGGTTCGAACCCCAGCCGCGTCATACCAAAAGATGTTAAAAGATGGGAGTTGCTGCTACCTTGTTTGGCGTTCAACAATAAGGGATAGAGCAACGTCGATCTGGCGCTGCTCAGTGGCTGCCGGGCTCACGATCAATTGGGCAAAAAGAATTTCCATTTCGGTTTAATAAAATTCGGAGTGGACTCAAAGATTATTATTATTATTATTATTATTATTATTAAGGGAAAAGTAAAACAATGACTTTACCATAATGTGTGAATGGATGGAAAATGCAAAGCATTACATGGGTCACCTGTTGGTCATAAAAGGCCAATTCTGGTGTTTTTCAACACCTGTTATGGGATAAACACCCAAACGGTGTTGAATTCCTCACGAGAACCCCCTCATATGCGTCTTTAAGACTCTTCGATTTACAGTTTCCTCTCTCAACACAGCTGTAGAACACGTTGCCTTGTATCGACTGCTAGACACAGTCTAGACAAGAGCATACAAACCAAAGAGATGCACTATAATTTATGCTATTCACATGCAAACTATTTGTAATTATCATTATACAAAGTCTACATTTTGGAGCAGTTTTTACCCCGTTGTAAATTTCTCTCCCCCACTTTCAGCTGACAGTAGAAATCGGTGGGAAGACAGAGTCCATTATGAAGAGAACTACCTTGGTGGCTAACACATCCAACATGCCTGTAGCTGCTAGGGAAGCGTCCATCTACACAGGTAAGAACAGACCTAGCCTTGTAGCAATTTGAGTAATGATTAATGACAAACCAGAATCATGACAGTTTGGAACATGAAGCATTTATGAAATGTTCATGGTCACTGTTTTCATGGCAAACAACTTGCATCTTGGAGCAAGAAACTTTTTGAGAATTTAGACCGATTTGATCTGCATAAATTTCCATTTCATTGGTTGGTTGATAAGTTGGTTGGTTGGAAAGTGAAAACTTATTGTGTTGAACATAGTGATAGCGTTCATGACTACCATAGATAAAGGGCGCTTGGGCCATTATTTTAACGAATATTTATCGATGGGCTCTTAGCTACAAATTTAAAAAATGAAACATCTACCAGAAACAGAGTAACAAGATTTTAACCCCCCCCCCCCCCCCGATGATTAGAGTAGGTTCACTGAACACTATGGGTAGTATTCTCTTAAGTTAGACCACAACTAAGTCTAGACAAAACAAGAACTTTAGTTCACACTTCTATGGAATGCTAGGTTTCATCTTGCTCCTTCAATATTTATGACAAAGATAATCTACCAGTGATTTTATTGAAATTCAGATCATAATCATATTATCTTTTTCTTCCCATTTCATTGCAAAACAAAATTTTTGGACACTTTTCATTGCAGGATTAAAATAATCTGTACAGGGTAAATGGTTTGGCAACAGGCACTCCATAGAAGTGTGGACTAAGTTAAGCCAGGCTTGACTTTGTATCGGAATACCACCCTATTTGATGCTAGTCTTTGTTCTTTTCCTGCCTAACATTCTCTGATCATTTATCTGTCTCTATGGTATTTTCAGTATAATGCTCTGTATTTCATCCTTCCTTTCTACTGTTCAGGCATATCATTGTCTTAAGTTTTTCAGTGACCATGGATATTTCTCTCTGTTTTCAGGTGTGACATTGTCGGAGTATTTCCGTGATCAGGGATACAACGTCTCTATGATGGCCGACTCAACCTCCAGGTGGGCTGAAGCCCTCCGAGAGATCTCTGGTCGTCTGGCTGAAATGCCCGCTGGTAAGTTGTCTTTCAAACCATAGTCATGCTGACCACACAAATTATTATGATTTACAATCACGTACTTATACTATGTGTAATTTTACTCAAATTTCTGTCTGTCTCAATGTGGATGTATACAGTGTGAATCAAAAAAAAGTTTACACCTAGAAAATTGCAAATTATTTTAAAAATCATCTATGAAAATTAAATTATTATACATCTTATGAAAGAGTGTTTTATCCTGAATCATTTGGTATCATTTTTGTGTGGTATGTGTTCACGCTTTGATAAACAGGAGGCATTGTTTGCGAGAGTGCAAAATTCGACTTGCGCCAAAGTTGCTTATGACTTGTTTGAATAAAACAATTGGGATTTGGGTATTAATTCGGTCTTTGCAAATCTGAATAACATCCCTAACAAAATTATTCATGCCACACATATCAAATATCGAATATCAAATATCAACGAACACTTTATGCGCGCGTGTGTGACTTTGCTTCTGCAAAAAAGCATATGCAATCCATTTCATGATACATTCAATTAATTCTCTCACTCCGCTAATCCGAACAAGTCGGCGCAAGTCGATTTTTGCACTCTCGCAAACAATGCCTCCTGTTCATCCAAACGTGAACACATATCACACAAAAGTGATACCAAATGATTTGGGATAAAACATTCTTTCATAAGATGTATAATAATTTACTGTTCATAAATGATTTTTAAAATAATTAGCAATTTTCTAGGTGTAAACTTTTATTTGACTCACACGGTAGTTATCACTTATATATTTCAATCATTACTGTTTTTGAAATTTATGTATATATTTGTTACTGCTTGTAAATAAATCCCATGTAACATTTTCATTTATTTGATTTGGACGAATAAAATAGAATTGAACTGAATTGTATCAAATGCTCATTTTCTGCCTACAGACAGCGGTTACCCAGCCTATCTAGGAGCCCGTCTAGCTTCTTTCTACGAAAGAGCTGGTAGAGTCAAATGTCTAGGAAACCCCAGCAGAGAGGGCAGTGTCAGCATCGTAGGGGCGTAAGTCTATCAGCCCGAAATATTATCCATCTTGATACTAAGTTGGTTTTAATGAAAAATGAGAGAAAGTTTGAGCAATATGCAATGAAAAATAGGAAAGGTATGAATTGTTGAAGTTGTTGTCAGGTAAACACAAATTGGTGAGCACTCTCCAATTCGCTCTGTACAGAAAATATCATAAAATTTCATCTTCTGCAATAGTTATTAATTGACTGAATAGATTTGTTTCATGCAAGCGTTTTAGTACAGGGCAAATGAGAAGGGAGCTCGTAAGATACATCATAGTGTTGACAATTTGTGTTTGATTGATTGCATCTTTAAAAATTTGTAACTTTTTTTAAATTTCTAATCAGAATTTGCTCAAACATTCACTGAAATGTTTCTCTCATTTTCCCCTCATGCTTCTATTAAAGCCAACTCAATATCAGGGTGGACTTGCCCTTTAATCCATTACTTGATGTACAATTTTGTTTTTTATTGACATGAAGAGAAATGGATAGCCACCATGATCATAGAATAGTGGGGAAGAGGCAACATACAACCTCTTGATATTAAGTAAAATTTACCCCCATTCCTCCTCCTCTACCTTTGGGAAAAATGATGAAATAATGTACGTGGACCATTACATACATACATAGATGCTTTAATTTGAACCAGATGTTTAGAGTGTTTTTGTTCTTTTTCTTTTTCTTAGCAGTTTAAGGGAGGGGAGGTGGGCGAGTGGTACAGACCTGCCAACCAGTACGATTTAGTCGTATTTAGTACGATTTTTAGAAGCAAATACGACAGTACGATTTTCCTTAATAAAATACGATTTTCAAAAAAAAAAAAAAAAAAAAATGATAATTTATATTTTGTGTTTGTGACATTTTCAATGGCAAAATTCCCATTATGTTTTGTTAAGTATCCTTCACGCATCTCACATCAGCAATTTGGGTATGATCATTGGTACATCGAACACACCAGTCCTGACAAAATCGTGCATATTCAACCAATGATCCTTAAAAAAAATTCTTCCTGTAGGTAGGAACTGTAAGAGGCATTGATCCGCGTAACAATCCGTGTTTTTTTTTCAAGAATACAACTTTTTTCAGTAAAATACAACTTTTGGGATTAAAGAATACAGTTTTTGAACTCCAGAGGTTGGCAGGTCTGGTGGTATCTGCCCTTTTAAGATTAACGTAAGAAATCGGAGTAGCTATGTGTAGAACTGAACTTATTTTCATGATAAAGTTAACCCAGGGATCTGTTTAAAAAAAAACTCTGATTGAATTGTAATAGTCCAAATATCCCACAGTGTAACTCTCTTTGGCCCGAATTCACAGCAGAGGTTTACATTTCACCCACAGTTTAAACCTTCATTTACTTAACCCATGGTTTAAAATTAGCGCAAATAAGCGTACCTTGCCTTGCGCGCGTCAAATATTGGACCTCTTGACTGTGTTACGCTTATTTTGCGCTAATTTTAATCCATGGGTTATGTAAATGAGGGTTTAAACCATGGGTTAAATGTAAACCTCCTTTGTGAATTCAGGCCTTCAAGTTTAATCAACATCCATTGACACTAACAGTAAACTTTTATTTCTTCTTCAGTGTGTCGCCCCCTGGTGGTGACTTCTCTGACCCGGTGACCTCCGCAACCCTTGGTATCGTTCAGGTGTTCTGGGGATTGGATAAGAAGCTCGCTCAGCGCAAGCACTTCCCCTCCATCAACTGGCTCATCAGCTACTCCAAGTACATGAGGGCGTTAGACGACTTCTATGATAAGAACTATGCAGAGTTTGTGCCACTCAGGACCAAGGTCAGTGCAGGACGCGTCTTTTTTTAACCTAACCTAGCCATCCTACCGCTGCTTTTGATTAGCTCAATAGAGTGGTGAAGTGTGATGTCATCAAAATTCTATTTTTAGAATTTCTCAATTTTTTTTTCATTTCCTGAAATAGCATCAAAAATAATGTCCAAATGTCGAAAACCAATTGAATATGTTAAGTATTGGCTGAGATATGACCATCTGAATAAATAAATTTCCTATAGGAACTCAGTGTTATATGCTCTGGCTCCTTACCATGTTTGATGCTCTTTCGGAAAATGAAGAAAAAAATTGAGAAATTCTAAAAATAGATTTTTATAACGTCACAGCTTCGGTACTCTATAGGAACCTACACGTTATGCGCTAGTCATAAATATTCAAGATACGCACGCACACAGAATCCAACGCGATAATTTATCAAATAATGAGATTTCACACAAAAAATACAAGTGCAAGCTATGTTTACTTAAAATGAGTGACATTGCGCGAAAATTGGTATGGTTTACCGTAAACGAATGACTTTCCAGGTTGTAACTTGTCCATAATCATTGCGACATACTGGTTAGTCCAGAATCTGGCTAATATAGTAATTTGTTCTCCACCTTGCCGTACCAACGCAAATATTTATATATTATTCAAATATTAATATGCAGCGCTAGGATGGCTAGGTTAGGTTTAAAAATGTCAGTGCAGGATCCCTGTTTCATGAAACTTTTCATCGGGAACAAGTGCGAAACTTCTATGACAGGACTTCAGTAGCTTATATTTATAACAGTTATTGTAACTTGTTTTTTTAACAGTGTTATTGAAGCAGGGCCCTGGGGGGTGTTTCACAAAGACTAGGATCAACTTTAAGTTAGACTTAACTATGACAGAGCATTCATGCCACTGTTTGCTCTCAAGGTTTACTGGCAATGGTCTATCAATGGACGTACAAATCATGATCACAAATCTACAGAAATTTTATTTTTTGATTATTTATTAAATCTATTTAATTTATTAATTTATTTATCTGTGTTTCACAAAGTCCAAGATCGACTTTAAGTTGGACTTAACTATGACAGAGCATTCATGCCACTGTTTGGTCTCAACGTGTTCAATGGCACTGGTCTCTCAATTGACGTACAAATCATTAACACAAATCTATAGAATTTTTATTCTTTGATAATTCATTATTGAAGGAAAAATGTTATCTAAAGATCATAGTTGAGAGACCAATGGTGAGAGCAACCGGTGGCCTGAATAGCATGCCATTGTTAAGTCCAACTTAAGTCAATCTTAGTCTTTGTGAAACACCACCCTGGTGTTTTTGATTCATTGAAATAAAATGAATTGATTTTACACTGCAAAAACGGGTGAAATTTGGGCAGGCATTCAGAAAAAAGCACACTCCAGAGGTGATTTTTGTTTCTTATTTAGGTTTTTTCGTTGTTTGCCAGAAGTATTTAAATACCTACATTACACAGGAATACAATCAAAATCAATGATTTTTACTTCCAGTGTAAATGCAGCTAATGAGTTCATTATTATAATATTTTTATCTTTTTGCTGTAGGTGAGGGAGATCTTGCAAGAAGAGGAAGAATTGTCTGAAATTGTGCAGCTGGTAGGAAAGGGCTCCCTCGCTGAGTCCGATAAGATCACCCTAGAGATTGCTAAACTACTCAAGGATGACTTCCTCCAGCAGAACGGATACTCATCGTATGATAGGTGAGTCGCTTGAAAAATATTCTGATAAGAGTTAATAGATTGATTTTATTTGATATGATTTGATTTATTTATTTCTGTTTGATTTTTTGTCTCGCCTGCGTAGCAAAAAGCGAGACATAGGCGCCGCTTTTCCGGTGACGGCGGCGGCGGCGGCGACGGCGACGGCGACGGCGTCAACATCAAAAACTTAACCTAAGGTTAAGTTTTTGAATTTTTGGTATAATTTTTAAAGTATAAGTTCTTAGTCAATGAAACTTTGACTAAAGGGTAATCAAGTATCCCCAATCATGTGAGTAGAATTTCAGATCACAAAGTCAAGGTCAAAGGTCATTTAAGGTCAACAGACTTGGACTATGTTGTAGCATCATCATCGAAAACTGAACCTAAGGTTAAGTTTTTGAATTTTTGATATAATCTTGAAAGTATAAGTTCTTAGTCAATGAAACTTGGACTATAGGGTTATCAAGTCTACCCAATCATGTGAGTAGAATTTCAGGTCACTAAGTTAAGGTCAAAGGCCATTTAAGGTCAACAAACTTAGACTTTGTTGTGGCATCAACATTAAGATTTTCAAAATGCTTCTTCTTCGTTATTTTTCAACCGATTTTGATTCTGATTGTTTCATATGATAGGGCTAGGAGGGGATTTAAAATTTCTACACAGAATCGTGAAATTCATTATCTATACTAATTTATGCAAATTAATTCGAAATCACAAAAAAGGCTTCTTCTCCTTCATTTCTCGACCGATTTTGATTTGGTTTGCTTTATATCGTAGAGCTAACTTTGGTACACTAAACTTCTACACAGAATTTTGAAATTGTTCTCCATTAATTAATTTTGGTAATTTATGCAAATTTATTCCAAAAATAACAAAAATTGCTTCTTTTCCCTCATTTCTTGACCGATTTTGCCTTATCTGGTAGAGCTAAATTTGGAACAATAAACTTCTACACAGAATTGTGAGATTTTGCTCCATTGATTATTTATGGTACTTTATGCAAATGAAATGAAATTATCAAATTTCTATTTTTTGACCAGTTCAAAAGTGTACCACATAAAATTTACGATATTTGTTGTTGTGAGATGCGGATGAGCGCTACGTCATTGACGTTCTGGTTTATCATATTGAATTGCGTTATGCAGGCGAGACCGCCGAGAGCGTTTCCCTTGTTTTTTTTTTGCAGTTTTACAATGGCATTATACTTATAGAACACTCCCCATTAGCACTGTGTTCTAAAATTTTGTTTAGATTATGCAGTGATTTTGTCTCCATTTAAGTGGGCAATATAACATTTAAAGCCACAATGTCCTAATTGTAGCTACCTGCTCCCTCTATATAGAAAATAGTGCCTAATCGGTGACCATTGGTCCCCTGTGATCCTCTTTTTCTTGTGTTAATTGAGAGCTCAGTTGATGAGATAACCACCTGTCAGTGACCTGGCAGGGTGGCCTAATCCCTCCATGCCAAACTAGTACAGATAAGCTTTAAGGTAGTAGAGGTGTCGTGGTCGAGTGGATATGTCACCGGACTGTAGATCACAAGGTCCGCGGTACAAGTCCAGCCACAGCACTTATGTCCTTTGGCAAGACATTAATGTACATTTGCCACACTCAACCCAGGTGAGGTGAATGGGTACCTGGTAGGATTATTCCTTTAACTGCACTGTGCGCTGATAATGGCTGCTGGAGCTCAAGCGGGGGTAATAATTTCCAAAAGCTCTTAGGAAGCGAATAGGGAAGTTATATAATGTTATATGCGCTATACAAGAACTGAATATTATTATAATTATTCAACATACCATACTTTTCCCTTTATCTACATAAAATTTGTGTTATTCTGTACCCTCACACAAATCAGAAAATTGGTGAAGGGAAAAATGCAGCAAACTGTCAAATTTACAGCATCGGTTGTGGGTAAATAAATATGACCATGTTTTTCTATCTCTTTCTTTCTCTCTTAGATATTGTCCATTCTACAAGACAGTTGGGATGTTGAGCAACATTGTATCCTTCTACGACATGGCCAGACACGCTGTGGAGAGTACCTCCCAAAGCGAGAACAAGATCACATATGCTCTGATCAGAGAGAGCATGGGAGACATCATGTACAAACTATCCTCTATGAAATTCAAGGTAAGCTTTTCATCAGTTCATTCATTAAAGGCATCGTTTAACAAGGTTAAATCTGAGATGCACGGCCCTACGTGTTATCATTGTCTGTGATATGGTGTAATATTGAAGCCATTAAAAAGTTGCGCTTCAAAATGATCAAGAAGTGCCTCAAAAAAGTAAAAACCTTTGAGTGACCGGTTTTACCATACTCGTTTTCCCCAATAGACTGTAGTGTTATGAAAACCGTTAGGAAAAAAAAAAAAATGGATTTTGATTTTGAATCATAAATATCTTGATAATCAGACAGGCTTGTAAAATTCATGGGGTTCCTGACTGACCTAAAGGTTTTTAGTTATCATTGCAGCATGAGCTAAATCCGGGATTTTGTTTCAGAATCGGAGACAAAGTTACCTAATCCCTTTAATTAATCAATTTATTGCAGTTATTTTGGGACCTCGTGGATGACCAGATCAACTTTGTTGGTTGATCTGAAGCGGGTGATCCCTCGATCTTCACTTTAATTTTTTAGAATATCTTCTAAAATATTTGAGAGTTTTGTTTCTTATGTGTGTAATAGTGTTTGAATTTCATATTTTATGATCGTAAATATAACCAAACCAAACCAAGACATCCTCTCATTTTGAATATAGTTGTCCAAATTTGATTTAGAGGAAGACAAAAGGTTTTGACAAAGCCCTTGGGATTTGAGAAGTGGAGTATTATTAAAACCAGCTAGTTTTGTGACCTGACTAGAAATTCTCGTGAAATGTTAAAGAAACTTCTTCAGCATCTGCAAAAGACAGGGTTGCAGAAGAATTTTATCCATGCAACTTAAATTAGGAGTATAAAATAAAAGAAGCATTACATGTAGCAACAATTGGTTCATTTGATAAGATTACCCTTGAGCCTTTGTTGGGGCCACCCCAGTCAATTACCCATAAATAATGACCCCCACCCCCATCTCAACACGTAATAAGAGTACAATCAGTTATTCTCAGTCTATTCTCAGTATTCTAATTCTAGAGAATAATGAGGGTAAAATCCCATCACAATTTGATTTTCCTAAAATTGTAATAACAGACCCTTGGCTGTGATGAGTTCATGGTATTTCCACAGAAAAGGAGAGGCTTCATGTATTTATATTTTCTGTAATGGGGTTTTCCATTGAAAGGCCTGTCACCTTTGCAAATCCCACCATATTTATTTTGTTTGTGTTATATACCTGTTATTTTCTCTTTCAATGAATATGTTCTTGTCATTGTGATCGTTTTTTATATTAGTTAACAAATTTGTTTACTCGTAAATTAAAATGGCGCCCATGTAAATATGATGTGAGCGCACAGTGCAGGTAGTGATGTAACAATACATACAAGAAAACATTGATGACACAATTTTTACATGCAAATTAAAATGGCGGCCCTAACCGTGAAGGTGTGTACCAGTAATGATATTACATCATTGATGAAATTACCTTCGTTTCTTTTCAGGATCCTGTGAAAGACGGTGAAGCCAAAATCAAGCAAGACTTTGCCGACTTATTAGATGAGATGCAGCAAGGCTTCAGGAACCTAGAAGACTAGCCAACATAGCAAATATATAGTCATAGATATAAACCAATCATATAACAATCATTGTCAAGTCCCATGCATAGCATTTGATGTCGGTGGTGGAATGTCTCTAGTACACACATAACCATGTCCTTATGTCTTTTTATCTGTCATATATTTTTGATGAACCTTTGTTTCATATTGTGCAATTGGGCCTTCCTGAAAACCAAGGCCATTTTCAGAGAAACAGAATCAAAATGGATTATGATTTAACAGTATTTTGTAGCCGCATGTTGTGTTTATTCTAGAGTTAATATCGAGCAAGGCAGCATTGTGTCACCTCTTTCAGAACAGCCAAAGATATGTCAATTTCAAATTCATGTTTTGTATCATCTACATTCTAAATGACTGCTTATCCCTGTTTAACACGTTGACTACTGATTTTGTAATTCCGCAATGCTTGATGTAATGGTCTAGTTCCTGCGTGCACTTGCTCAATTGAAAATTATAATATTTTGCATGAAAAAAAAGTTTCAAGGGAATATCAATACAAATATTTCTGCTTCAGACTTAACCTTTTTGCTTGGATTCTCTGTAAACATACCAACACATTTCTCTCTTTCTACTGAAATTTATCATGCAAACATATTCTTTAAGACCCTGTAGTACATATTTCTATAGTTAACATCATATTATGTGATAGATTATTTCTGTACTTGTGTTTTTCAATTTGAAGTTGTGTTCAGACATTCCATAATAATGTTGAATAATTGAAATCAGTACTGTATATTGTAAACCACATTATTGACAAAGTGTGACTATTGGTCAGTAAACTCAGTATAATATGAGCATGCCCCAAGTACCCCTGGTATGGGGTACAGTGAATGTAGCATAGAGGTTAAATGAGAGGTCATTAAATGGAAATCCAATTCTTGATAGCAAATTATTTTAGAGGGAAGGAGACATTAGAGAAGATTACTGGTGTAAGTTATCTGGACAAAAATTAGAAAGATATACCTTTTTAAAAGTTGCAATCACTATAGGTAGGGGCTCTTCAAATTGGCAGAAACTGTAATGTCACTGATCAGGGATTCCAGTTTTCAGGCAATAGCCTGAATTCAGGCCCTGGAGAGTAATTTTCACACTATAGTTTAGGCTTTTTTGTGTACAAAATGGCTCATTCTAGGTGATTTTCAGGCCCTATGATCAATTCTAACTGGCATCCCTGCATGATGTAGTGGCTTCTATTAAAACCAACTCAATATCAGGGTGGACTTCACCTTTAACGGTCTATACATAATGTCCTTTTTTCCTTTCCTGACAATGCTCATAAAATGCTGTACCTATGTCCTGCCAGTCATTTCGATTTCCCTTTTGAATTTAATGCCATGTTCTGTTATACCGGTAGGTGGTTGGTCAGAGAGTTATAAAAACAAGATAAATGCTGTTAATATTTTCTAGAATGTATTTGAATGATGTTCGGACATCCCTTCCGATAGCTATCTCCATCTTTAATTGTTTCATTTTATTCTGCCAGTTTTACATCTAGTGTATAAGTACGTATGTTTATAAAATGAATATGCAATTATTGGACTGTCAAGTTTTAAGTTGAAAATGTCACCACTCTGAAGATGTTATTAGTTTATACTAGACATGAAAAAAGAAAGTCATAATTGTCACCCCTTGGAAGTAGTAATTTGGTGCTCAAATGTTGTACAATGTAGTGATTTTTGTAATAGGAGTTTCAAATTTATTATATTAGAAACAAAGGGCGAGTTATGTTTGTGAAATGGTAAAGGCGGAGAATATTTAGCAATACTCAATGTTAATGGTTTTGTGCTGTATATTAGGTTAAGTGGATAATGTGTATCCTCCTTTTTTTCTTCTTTTTTTCTATAATTTTCTTTGATTTTTTAACACTTTAACCCTCTCTGTGCCAATGGCGGAAATGCTACCCAACAATTTAAACGCTTCACTTGCATTTTGACAACGGTATCTTTGAATTGATATGAATTCCTTTGATTTAAGAAGATATTGTATTTTCATTTTAACATTGAAACGTAGGAATAGATGAAATACATTGGATTCATGGAAGTTCATTTGTAATATTCTTTTTAAGCTAAAGGTTGCTCCTAAAGTGGTTTTGATCCTACCTAATTTAATTAAGGTTAGTATCTTTCTATAGCAGACCATAGCATACAAGTACAGTGTATAATAAAGTGACCATGGGATGGTAATAAACATGTGTAATGAATACATGGTATACTGTGTAACGTATACAGGTTATATCCATACTGTGGTGACAATATAAACTTCTACTGGCTAATATATAATAATATATATGCACACTGACTGCACACACAACGCTAACCTATTGTTTAGGCTTTGTTATGTAATAACACAGTGTGTCTTCATTAGTGGGCACTCGATTGAGGGCAATTAAACTGAGTTTTAATCACGTACCAAAATACTGTAATTGAGAGATTAAACCAAGTGAAAGCTACAAGGAGGACGAATAGTCTTGGAGAATTGGCTATGTGAATACAGCATAACTACATACAAGTTGTGAGGAGTCTTTGAAATCAATTGATCAGGTTTAATTTAGTCACATTTCGCTGTTCTCGTTGTGTTGGCTCTTTCACCTTGTATCGTACATAGCTTGTGTCATCTTGTACAGCAAAATATCATCTCAATTTCCTTATTTGCAATATTTTTTACAATACTACATTCAAGTGATATGCCAAACTGCACCCTGCATAATGACTTCACAAGCTGATCTGAACTAGTTTTGATACAAGAAGCATTTCGTCATTTATAGCATTGTTTTACCTGATGAAGAATGGTGTTTATCACCTGGAATCCCTGAAAGGAGACTAATCTGCCATAGGACTTGTGGTTTACCATCTGTTTTAATAGAGAGACGTTTGTGCTATCAGGCAAAAATAATTGGGGTGGAAAGTCCTGAATTATAAAAAACAATACAAGGATGAAATTTTGTATATCTGTAGGGCATATATGTCAATGGGCTTAACCAAATCATTATTTCCCCTGATCACTGGATTTCAAGCCCCAGACAAATGTGCACCATCTCCACTATTTTAGGGAGTATTCATACCATTTTACGGAAAGAGATATATGAGATTTATACTGTAGCAAGATTCCCAGCTGCGTTGAAAATCATTTTTCTTTTGTATGAAGCGCTTACTTTATGAATGCAAAATCCTCAGAGGACCTAACACTTTTATTCTTTCTCTTTATTTTTCATTTATAAATGTCGCTTATGTCTGTTATGTTGAAGCTTTATTATTCTTCTAGTGATATACTCTCTGTATTTCGTGGATGAACTTGCAACTCTCGTGATTTTAGACTCTGTCGTATCTTTTCAATGAAACATCTTCCTTTCTATATATTATATTCAATGTTCTATTGTATCCTTTAATCATATCCCTAGGGTATCAAACATTTGTCAGCATTTTGGGATGGAAAAATTGTAGAGAAATGGAATATATATTAGAAGATGTATATAAATAAATGGTCATACATGTATTAACAAATGTAAATTGATTTGTGTTGTGTTTCTTGTATGTTGTATTCAAAGCTTTACAATATTGATGAATCACAAATACACCAACAACTACATGCATGATTAGGGATAAAAATGATCTTCAATTATTTAGTTTAATATCCTCTCAACAAATCGGTCATAAGTTAGATATACATGTACTGTGTATAAAATACAATGGGGCATATTCACATTTTTGGCAGGATTTGCGTATGAAAAGCATCTATGTATAGTTTCTCCTTTTCTATGATAGCTCTAATATAAGTTTTAAAACTTGCAAAACTGGACACTTTAATAGTTGCAAGAGTTTATTTTATATGTATATATATATATATATTACTCTGCGGTTATAACACTTACTCAAGCACATGTGTGCAAGTATGCTCAAGTGCTAATAGCTGCTATAAAATCAGATTTGATATGGTGATCGGCGAACATATTGTAAAACTCTCGCTTTCTCCTCTCTCTTCATCTCCGTCAATATCTCTTTTAAAAAAAATTCCGTTATATCTCAATCATTTTATATCTCTAATCTCTATTTCTTTCCCCGTGTAACCCTCTCTCCCTCTCTCTTCTCTCTCTGTCTGTCTGTCTCTCTCTCTCTCTCTCTCTGAGAGAGCGGAGAGAGAGAGAGAGATAGAGAGATTCTCTCTTTCTCTCTCTCATCTGTCATAAGTTTCATTTCTCTCTCCTGCAGATTAAAAAATGAGTTTTAACAGAGAATAAAATAAATCTTAACTGACTAAAAGAAAGAGAAAGGGAGAGAACTCAGAGTTGTAGGCTATATGCTATTTAAAAATAAGTCAAGGCCATACACACACAGGAACAACAAATTTAGAAGTTTTCTAGTATTTTAATGAAACAGTTGTTACAACAAAGTTGAAAGGACGAATACATATGAGCTGTATACATTAAGTTATAACGATACACCTTGATAAGACGCCATCTTGATTATGTCAAATTCAACTTCCTGGGCCCCGTTTCACAAAACTTGTCATCAGGGACAAAATATGACAGTTCTTGTTATAAGCTATTGAAATCCTTGCTTCTGATTGGCTATCAGCAGATTTGTCACTGATTTTTGTTATTTGTCATTGAAAAAAGGCTTTGTGAAATGGGTCCCTGGTGTACTTTTGTATGTCAAAAACATGATGAGAGTCTGGATATTAGAAATAAAATTCTGTAATAACGCATCATACTTCATTTGAATATAATTCACTGTCAGTCACACGTTATGATAATAATATAATACCGGTTATGATGGGATGCTAAATAACATTTTAGTACAGATCGAATTCGAGACAGCGATACATTCCATGATAAAGCAGTGGATTGTTGCAAACTGCTATTTGATATATAGTTATGCCCGCCACATTATTTCGGGAAACAAAAATGAAATATTATTTTTAATCGTGGTTGATCTCTTACTAAAAAGAAGAAATACATGTTAAGATCAAAAACATGTATAGACACGAAAAGGCACGAAAGGATGTTGAAAAATTGGTACAGTAGATAGTCATTCCTCGAAACAATATTAAATTAAAACTAATACACTTATCAAGTTCGCTTTGTTAATATATATTATTTTTTGTTAAATCACACGCGTATGAACACGCCCGCACTTAACTATAAAGTACCGGTAAAGATAAATATTTTCACAGTTTAGACATGGGCCCTTGTTTCATGAAACTTGTTATCCATAACAATTCGGCCACATATCTATTACAAATCTGCTCTCAGCCAATCAGATGCGAGGGTTTCAGTAGCTTTTAACAATTATTGTAACTTGTTACTGATAATAAGCTTCATGAAAAAGGGACCTGACATGAGAACAATTACTTAAAAGATTAGTGGTTAATTGCCGTCTCGTATTTAATGTTAATAGCAACAACAAACCTTCGCAGATGGTATTATGGCTATAAAGCGTTTGCAGTCTGATCACAAATGATTGGGTTCACAAGAAGACGAAGGCGCTATATATACTCTATTCAAACATCAAACAATTTTTTTTTAAAGTTATCAATTATGATATTTTGATTAGTTTTAGAGATAGAATGTTTTAATCGTTGTAGGGAACCTTCATTGCAACATGGACGTTTCATATACGAAGATGAATACTATCCCGTCTCTTTGTCATCCGTTTCTCTCATTAAAAAACAAAACAGTATTTAATGATGTTGAACCCTTCATTTGCTCATTGTATTCAATTAATAATTGCCTATGTTTTATGCCTCGATTAATTAAATGCAATTTGGAAAAAAAAGGAAAAAAAGAAGGGAAGTTTTCTACCTATTTCTATAATGAATGAGAATCTGATAAATGCAAGTTCACCTATATAATGCAGTATATCTGAAAGAACTAAAAGAAACAAAACTTACCACATTGTACAAAGAGACAGACAATTTCGGAAATAAGTAAAACAGATTTGTACTGTATGAACACTCACAAAAATGCACGAAAATGAACTTAAAACGCTTTTTTTAATATCTCATCATATGTTTACACATGCTACAATGCAAAGTGTGCTGGGAAGTGTAAAATTTAATTGATAAAAATGTCATATTAAAGTTCGTTACAAAATTTACCTTCTTAATAACGAATTATAATTATATAGGCCTTCTGTATAGCAAGACACATGAAACGTAAAATTGTTGGAAGATCTCACAATAATGAAAGACATAAAATTGTTCTATAACAATTAACGAGCTGTTCTTGGGACATCCCATTTGACCGACCTCCCATTAGACCCAATGGACTGTTGAAACCTCAGAAAATTGTAAGATGGCACAATAAACCAACATTATCGATCTAGAGGGATGTCGGTCAAACGGGATATCGGTCTCGTGGGCTATAATCTGTATATGAGTTATTGGGCCGTCGGTCTTTATAAGTCGCAGCTCGACGTCTTGCGGAATGAAAACTGTACAATCTGCAATCACATAACCAATGATCAATCACCCTTTGATATTTTATAGTTGTGTCAGTTAGTCAACGCGACAAACTTCAATATTACAATGAAAATATTAAAAGCAGATCATATAGCCATATATTGATATAAAGACCTTTCTCCAAATGAAATTAGACATACTTAAAACAAAGGTTACACACACACTCACAAACAAAATCTCACTTATGACGAAACTCAACATTTAAAACCATTTAAAAGTACACACATGATTAAAATTCGTCCAGTATATCTACAGGTGTAGGTGTAAAATACATGTAGATTGCTTTATATAATATAATCGGGTGATTCTGTGCGAATAAGTTGTATTTTCTCAAGTTTTCAGGAGGACCCTGTTATACACATGGTCGGCTTGGTGTCTGGAAAAGCAGATGGGATGTTCAGATGTGATTCTGAAAGAAAACAAAACACACGATAAAAATACAGTTAAAACAAGTAGACCTAGATATTTGAAGAAGGCAAAATCAATCGCATGGATTGTTGATGTGAAACAATAACATTATCAATCTCAAGTATCGACTCTAACCTCAGGTAAAGTTCTTAAGACCAACACAATTAATAATATCACAACATATAAAATAATTTTCAGGACTCCTCAATCCTCTCTCTCTCTCTCTCTCTCTCTCTCTCACACATGGTGCACCCGCAAGCCTACTGTATAACATATAAAATGTGTGTTTGAAAAATCAGGGGCCATAACAAGAAGTGTTAAGAGGTGCCAAAAATTATATGGTTAAATGTTTTTTTTTCACGTAAGCCTACTGACTTAGATGTATTGATCCTATTACCAAAACTTTTTTTTGTTGGAAATATGTAAATATGGAACTGTTTCTTGAAAAAGGTCGTTCTACTATTATTATGAGTGAAGTTGTGCCCAAGTGCAGCACATTTATTAGAGGGTTATAGGCCTATACATGTAGGGATGCTCATCCATAACATGCGAACGAAGCGTATCGTGATAGCAAATTACGGGGGGGGGGGGTATTATGGTTAACCCTATCCTGAAGTCGGAACATGTACACATATTGGCCTGGGTATATGATACAGACGAGGGCCGGAGTGGGGGCGTACCCCATACCCGCCCATGGATACGCCACTGGCTATATTATAACAATTAAGAATGGGTCAGAAGAGCTGAAGTTTTGTTTCCACTTTATCGTGGCTGTGCCATGGACCAGTGATGGCCTGGTGGTTGAGTCGCTGCCTGACAGGCAGTGAATGGCAGCTAGGTTCGAATCCCGCTGGTAATTCCAAGATATTTTCCTGACATTTTGTTTTCAATAACAAGATCGATCACGCAATCTTTACCTACTGGGTGCAGGCCAAAAATGTTTTTACAATCATGAAAACAAAGCCATCTATACACAGAGTTTGGCCATCCCGGTTCGAGTTAATGGACACAATATGGCGACTACTGCTTTGTTGGGCAAGCACAACACAAAACAATATACGCCATGTTGTGACCCAGTGCAACCAAATTGGCCAAACTCTGTGTATAGATGGCTCTGCATGAAATAATAATAATAATTATAATAATACTCTGTTTTTATATAGCGCTTATTACAATCACTAAGCGCTCCCGAACTTGGAGTTATTACCCCGGCTTTAGCTGGGCTGCCATTGCGGCGCTCTATAGCTTTCCAAACAATTAATTCCTGCCAGGTACCCATTTACATCTCCTGGGTTGAGTGTGGCAAATGTAGATCAATGTCTTGCCCAAAGGACATTAGTGCCGCGGCGAGTCTCGAACCGCTGACCTTGTGATCGACAGTCCGGCAATTTAACCAATCGACCACGGCACCTCTACAAAACTATGCAAGGGTGCCATCTTAGTCTTACCAGAATGAATGAATGAACTAGAGTAATGTACAGCCTCCTTTCTTGTCTTTGTAGTTGTTGAGCTGACCGACATGCAGTTCTCTTGTCAAGAGAAAGTCATTCCCCATTTCCTGCTCGCAGTATTGAACAAGGCTGTGTATTGAATGAAAGAGAGGAAACAATATGGTAATGGTAATGGTGTGGTAATGGTTTAATTGGAAATTCATTTGCAGCCAGATGGCTGAATTGCAGAATTGTGTACATTGCGTCAAAAAACATAAATATTTATACAAACATAAATCAACTACAATAAAATTATCTAGCAAATCGTATTAAGACATATCACACAGTGAATGTATTTTCTAAATAAATCAGTGTACACCTATATTAAAAAAAAAAAAATTCGCTAAACAGCTAACAGTTGCTTACATCTATTCCAAAATCATCATATATGACGTACAGTATATATGAAAAGATCGTTCGAAATAAGAGAGAAAATAGAGCAAAGGGGCTGGAGCGAAATATAGAAGAAAGGTATAGGGAGGGAAAATAATAATAATATATCGTATGGTTAAAAAAAAGGCCTGTAAAGTTCAATTACTTTTAAAAGATTTTTTGTTGTTAAACCGATCCTTGCTTGTTTCTGTAGGCCATTGTCCCCTAGCTGAAACAGAGTTCAAAGCGACCGATCGATAGCGTATAAGTTAATAAGAGTATTAATGGTAATAGTCGAAGATGTCTACTAAGGTCACCCACGGGGACGGAAAAGATGGCCACTTTAGACAGGTAGGCTTTTTAGACAGGTTCTACAACGCACATACGACATACGTTTCTTTTCTCAATGGAGACGAAAGACATGCATGCGGCCTTAGGCCAAATAAAAAAATGTTTAGCGTCCTTTTTTTTTCGAAAAATAGGAAGGAGGAGGCCCTTTTTTTTCTTCTTCAAAATGGCCGCTCGGTACATTTTCCCTGACAGTCGGGGCTATTTTTCAAGATGGGCGCCGACATTTTTTATTTAATTATTTTTAAAATCAGAAATAGATCCATTTGAGCAGTGTTTTTCATGCTTTTTTTCTTAAAAAAAGAAGAAAAAAAGAATAGGAGGCGGCCCCAAAAAGGAAGCGGGCAGGGACGATAAACATGTATATATATATAGTTTAATGGCCTTAGTCAGGTAGCCATTTCGACTGGTTTCATTACCTTGGTTTGTACAGTGCACATGAATTCAAGGGAATCCACAAGGCACCTGCAAATAATAGCATTAATATGGCTTTATCCAAACTGTCCCAATTCCAAGGCCCGCCTAAAGCAGTCAAGTTCCTGGTACCTGCTTGTTTTATAACATCTGAGTTTAGCATTTCATTCGGGGGAGGGGTGGGGGTGGTCTGTTGTCGGTCTTACAATGTTAGACCGGTTCACTAACATTATTAAAATTTATGGATATTTCTTTCCTGGGACCTATATGATAGTGACTAGTTCCATTAACATGCTATTAGTGAATGGACTACAATACTCGGAATCCAGTCTGTGTATACGGCGTGTTGCTATGTCAGGCAAGCACCTGACAAGCTTTCATGTGATCAAGAGGAGGCGAGTTGGCTCAGTCGGTAAAGCGTCCGTCTGTCGAACCAAATTAGATCCCGGGTTCGACTCCTACGTCACCCAGGCGGATGACTGAAGCCTGCGTTGTGTGTTAACGTGCCCCTTCCCTTGTTCATAGACGCAGGTTATGTCAAGTGGAAAACACTCTGTCCCTCGGATAGGACGTTAAATGGAGGCCCCGTGTAGAGAAGAGTCACTACCTTTGCACGTTAAGAACCCACTGCACTATTCGTACAGGGACGTGGGAGTAGGGGGAAACCCCGGTGTAGTGGTCCACCTACATACACCCCCAGTATAGTACGATACTACTCTGTAAAGAGGTCTGTACTCTTAAAGGTACTATGTCCCATTTGCAGGCCCAAAAAATAAAAAAGTTAAATTCCAACTGCATTTGAAAGATAATACTAATTTAGAACTTCCCTAAAAAAAGGTGGGGCTTGAATAATGACTATTAGTTGTCAAATCGACTTTAGGGCTATAGAGCCCAAAAGTAATAATCTTGATTTTCAGACAATTGTACCGAATGGTCATACGTTTTATGCTGCGCAAAGATTCAATCAGTTTAATCTTGGCCATGACAAGAAGTGGGTTATTGATGTAGACAAATGCTCATGTACCCTTTACAACTCTTTTCATGTATGTTATTACCAAAGAAGAAAAAAAGCCAGTCAGTCACTCAATAGTGTCTGACAGTGAAGTCTAGCAAGTAAACGGGTTTCCTTGCATAATTTGAATATGAGGACACTGCTAACGTTGAAATTTCACAGATAGGACATAAATGACATATTCATAATTCCTGCAAAGTTCTACAGAATTTGAGGTTGGCTGCAAAAGGGACATAGTACCTTTAAGGAAGAAGAAGAACAACAACCTCTTTAAAAAAAAAAAAAGTACACTATGCATACAATTTGAATATGTCAGTAAACCGGTCTTTTCTGTCGGTGTTTCATAGCGGGGAATATGATTATAATACGGAGATTTCCTGACTATGCATGCAACATGTTAACCCATCCCTTCCGCTCTGAAATATCATCCCTGCAGAGATTAAAGATCATAATCTTCTTTTCCCATAAGGTGTTGCTGTGTTTTCCTTCCCGTCTCAAAATCAAATGACTAAAAGTGAATTGATTCATGTATTTGATTATGGTCCATCAATCTGCTTCCCTACCGATTCTTTTCGAGTTAATATCCCACTTTCTGCGCTTACGTACTATTATCAATAAAACTAGATTCATGTTTTTCTTTAAATTTCCTCATTATTTTGATATCCACATAAAAGTTTGTTGTTTGCAAGAAACACATAAAGGAATTTTAAAGGTACTAATTAAATGTCCAATTAAGATGAAAATAATACCCTCTAAGAGAGTCTACGTCCGGGCTATTATAGTGCATGGTTAAATACATTCTCAAAGTGAAGCTGGTTGCCTTGATCGAGGAATATCTGTACAAAAACAATGGCGATGTTTTTCTTTAGATTAACCAGAGTGGTTTATATGAGTCTCTTTTTATTTCTACAAGGAAGTGTTTCGTCTCACTCAACAACTAGTCTATGCGCTTTATAACCGTCTTTTTGTGTAATTGTTGTGATAACTAAATCTATTTTTATAGGAAAAAGGAGGCCTGCCAATAGGGTTTGTAATTATATACAGAGAGTAGGCCTACATCAACACATGTAAAATGAATTTGCTTTATTCTTTCTGTAAACACAAACTACGTCAACATGCTGCAACAAAGCATTTTACAACAGAAAATACAAACTTATTATTCAGTTCCGACTCTTTCAACATTTACATGTTTTATACAAAGTTATTTTCAAGATTGTGTCAAGCATTTTAAATAGATGGGTTTGCAAAGTAAAGATTACACTATAATGCACTGAATCGCTCGATGACTCAGATAAAATAATGTATAATGGTGTTCCAAATATAGCTCACTATTTTAAATAAACAAACATAATATTGACATTATTAAGACATAGAAATGATGTTAACTTTTATTCTACTTATTTTGTATGAAATCATACAATGTACCAGTTGTACCTTGTATTTTGCTGTACGAAATACTTAAATCCTTGTATTGCAGAATGAATAAAGACTGAATAAGTCATATGAATGGAACATATTTTATCATTATATTATTTGTGATAATTTTCACTACATCGGTACAGTATATATCACATGTTTATATCAGCCATAACTTTTCTTCTCTGTAACATAATTTATAAAGTCCGAAGTTATACCAATATATTGATTATATTTCACATGTCTATATCAGCCAAAACTTTTCTTATCTGTAACATAATTTTTGAAGTCCGAAGTTATACCAATATGATGAGTATATTTCACACATGTCTATATGAGCCATAACGATTCTTCTCTGTATTATATAAAGTCCAAAGTTACTCCAATATAATGAGTATGTTCCCAATGTCTACAGTGTATATCACCAATCAGAATATACTTACTCAGCTGTGCACTGTGAGACTTTGACCCGCTCCACATTGAGTTCCCTCTGAAGCTGATCAATGTTCTTGTGAAGCGCCATTTGAGTTGACGAAGACGCCATTTCGAAATATCAAAGAGCTTTTAAAAATGAAAGATATAATAGCTCCAATATCCAATCCAATATATAGATCCAATCTAAATCTATAGCATGTGTTTGAACAGGGCAGTGATATAATTCCACGACAGCTGTGCTGGTTGTCCGCCCGCTGTTATGTTCCAAGGAAAATCGGTTCGCGGTCCCTGTTGCGTGATCTGTCGAGTAGTAGATATATTCGTTGATATATTTTCCTATGGTTTATAATGTATCCAAAGTTTAAGCATCGATCTTCTGGACTAGCTAGGCCTGTTCCTGGACTCGTCTGGTATGCCTTATTGCCTTGGCTTGTAATTAATGTGTGCTTTGATGTACACAGCGTTTCCTGTTTGGACGGCGACGCAGTGTTATAAGCCGATTAAACACCAATGAGAGAATGGTACAGCTTCACTGGCAGATCGAGTACAAGTTTACCCCGCCCTTTGTTGTTAAGAACACACCAGTGCAACAGACCCGGTGGATAGCTAGTCCTCCCTTATCAGAGTACACAATAAATCATCGAGCGCTCTGTTAACTATTAGTATTGGCGTCTATTGGGGGTCCAAAATGTGTGCTGTTGGAATGGACTTTGCTCGATCCAGTCTGCCTGCATTCGGAACGACTCTTGCATAAAAAATGCTGTATCTCTTCTCGAAAAACACAAAACGCCGACATAATCCATTGACTGAGTCACGCACGGCGTATTCTAGGGGACAATAGTTTGTAGTCCTATTGAGGGGCGTAGGCAGCTGTTTCCCCATGGGAGGGGTTAAGGCACATGAGGTGCTTGAGAAGTTTGAAAAGGTTATTTTTTTAGCGTTTTATTCACCCCATGGAGTAGGAAAATATTTCATCTTCCAGAATTGGGTGATGTTCTCTCACTCTCTCTCTCTCTCCCCTCTCTCTTTTTTGCTCTCTCTATCTCTCTCTCTCTTTCTCTCTCTGTCTCTCTCTATCTCTCCCCCTTTCTCTCTTTTTTCCTCTCTCTTTCTATCTATCTTTCTCTCTCTTTTTTCTCTCTCTGTCTGTCTGTCTGTCTCTCTATCTTTCTATCTCTCTCTTTCTGTCTGTCTCTCTCTCTGTCTCTCTGTCTCTCTCTCAGTCTCTCTCTCTCTCTCTCGCTGCCTCTCTTTTTTTCTCTCTTTTTTCATAAATTATTATTATTAAATGTACATGTCTTTGTTAGTTTCTGTTTCTTATTTTTGTTATGAATATGACCAATCCAAAAAATGTATATTGTTTATATATATATATATTTCTTTCTAATAAAACGAAAAATAAATACTTTTGCTACTACTACTACTACTACTTCTACTTCTATATCCGGATCCTAAATATTGCGAGCGAGCAAAAGAAAGAAATGTCACTTTCATCCTGGCAAACAAATGTTTAATCATTAATATACATTAGATAAAATGTAAAATTATATATCGTTGCCAGGAATTATCTTGATTTATCAATTTTGCGTTGAGTGTAGCGAACGAGGGAAAAAAGACTTTTTGTTTTGGTATAAATTTCATTCCGATATAATAACGCAATGAATAATATTATATTCGGATAGGGAGGTGTCCAAGTATTGTCATATTATCATAATAGGGATATTAATCTAAACTAAACTAAACTAGATCATGTATTTCTGAGGGATGTACAATTTTCTTTACATTTTGGTATGTTATGTAAATCAATGAAGATGTATAATTTTTGTTTATATTTTGTACTGAATGAATGCAATAAAGAATGCTAAGAAAAAAGAAGAAAAAAAAAACACAGTGCCCGGATAAGTATTGTAAATATTTATTTCAATTTATTATTATTGTTTATAGTTTTCGGGGATAGATCTGAACAATTACATACAGTGGAAGAACGTCATTATAGAAGCATAAATGACACACATTCAGGATGATACTAAAAACCAAAGCTGAGTAAGAAAAGAAAAATCAGAGTATTTGAATTTGCTATGGTTATAAATTGTGACAAAAGAAATCAAATTAAAAAAATATAGGTTATAAATTGTGACAAAACAACAAAACATCAAGAAAGTCCCAACTCTGAAATACCTTTCGAAGCCCCACTGTACTAGTGTCCCTTCTATAAAGGGACACAGTGTCCCTTTATAGAAGGGACACTATGTACTACTAGAGTACCTACATAAAGATACTACTAGCTACTTGCGCCCTCCATTGGTGACCATTGGTCCACTGGTCTCCAATGATCATGCCTTCTTCATGCATGCATGTTTCATGCTTTATTTGATGTAAATAGTAAAAGTTCATTGTATTATTTAGATGTGAATGTAAAATCATATTCTATTTAATAATATTAACATGCAGATTATTTTATGTAATGATTTTGTTATTGTTATTTATGTTATTGTTTGTTAAAAGCAAAGGAGAAAATAAAATATCATTGAAAACAAAAATCTTCTTTTTCTTATGTAAAGTTCTGGGGTTAACCCCCCCCCCCCCTTTAAACTTTTTTTTATGTGTGTGTTTTGGAGAAAAACGCCCCCTTATCCCCCACACAGCGTTCTTAAAATTGATAACTATAATGATTTTATTTTAATGCTATGCTGTTCTAAAGCTGAATTCTGGCAAAACGGAGCTTTTCTTCATTGCTAAATCACCAAATCATTTGAATCAGTTCACTGACCTGTGACGTATTTTGCGAGCTCATCACCTCTCTTTTGACCTGTACAAAAAAAAAAAAAAAAAAAACTTCAAAAATCTATATTTTCCTTTAAATTCAATCATACATCCACCCTACAGTGTACGTATAATCATTCCAAATAAGTCTTTATACAGTAAAACCTGCTTTAGTGACCACCTGTCTACAAAGACCACCTGTCTGCAAAGGCCACATTTGTTGTTTCCCTTGGAAATGGTTTCTCATTGAAACATGTACTAAAGGAACCTGTCTACAAAGGCCACTTTTTGTGTTCCCCTTGGGTGGTCACTATAGACAGGCTTGACTATACAACCCGTGTATGAAACAAATCTATTCCGTCATCAACTAAGAAAATCAAAGTTGATGAAATTTTCTAGCTGCATGTACAGAGCAAATTGGAGAGGATCTCGCAAGATACATCATAGTATTGCTAATGTGTGTTTAACTGTCAACAACTTCAAAGATTCATAACCTGCCTATTTTTAGTAAACGGATTTGGCTCAAAATGTCATCATTAATTTGTTTTTCGCACATTTCTGCTTAATTATCAAAATTTACTATTTTTAGTCTTGATTGATCATTCTTTTCTCTTAAATACCCATTCCTTTCTCATATATCATAATTTATGCAAAAGAGAAGACATTTTTCAACTTTAACATGGTAAACATAACTATGATCAAAATTATAATTCTCAATTTTCATGCTCATGATAAAACATAATTTTGGGGATTAAATATCAAAGACATCAATACTTATACGATTTTTACTCAGAATTTGATTGATGATTTCATATCATGAACATATTTGTCAGGTTAATAAAGATAAGATAACTACGAAAACACTATATTGAAGATATAAACATTAGTAATATTATACTGACATCGTCGAAGAAACATTGAAAATCGTTGGGCCAGCGATTGTCGATGGCAAGTCTGAACGTAACACAAACGAATATGCGAAAAGGGAAAGCCCCTCTGACGTTATCAGGCAACGGCGATTGTGATTGGTCCAAAATGATGTCATTCACTCTTGCATCAGCTTTACATCTATTTTTAGTGCACGACGGAATGACGTATTCGGTGCGATTACAAACGTATTGCATCAGCTGGTGTATATAAACAACGATCTTCGCGTTGCAACATCAGTTCGCGAAAATGTAACTTGCAAAACAAAACGACGTTAGATTTGCTGAGAAATGGAATCGTAATGAAGCAGATCAACTCCTACAGACAGAACACAGAAGGCGAGAAAATGACGAACTCTGTACAAAACATAAACATGAACCACAACGCTTCCATGATGCGCCGGCAGAAAAAACGGAGTACACGGAGTAATTTTAACGGGTACTACCCGCAGCGTCCCCCGAACTCCGGGCAGGATGGGTTGCGTGCCCTTCGCTGCTGGCCAAGCGAAGGCTAGGCCTAGGCATCGAACCAGGCACAGCAAATCTCGGTTCCATACCCAAAATAAGAATCAAGAAGGACAAATTAAGGTGCAACAGACACCTTGTAATATTTATCTGGGAGAGAATTTCGCTACCAAGTTGCAGGCGGCCTTCCAGTTCGAGAGATCTCTCCAACAAGCCGACTTTGAAGACGGTTTTGTGCAGTGCAGGTTCGATCCTTTCAAGCGATATCATGAGATGACTTTGTCAGGCATGGCAGCGAGAATGAAGGAGTGCCCCAATGCAGGTGGAGATTCAGTCGAGTCTGAAGTGTTGAGGTAAGAGTCAATAATCTTCTTCTTCTTCTTCTTCTTGTTCTCCCTCCGCTTGTGTCGGAAATCAGCAACAGGATCTTTCTAAAATTAAGTTTATGTGCTCATCTCCTGCTGATTTTTGTCGATGTAAAATTGATCAATCACTATTGTGAGGTATTTCAAACTATTTGTGATTGCTTGCAGAGATTTGTTGGCAAAGGAGCTAGAGAAGAGTTAGACCTAAAGCTTCAGTCTCTGATATCGACGGTTGTTCCGCTGAGATTGCATCTGGCTCCTCTGAGCGCCTCTGAATGTCAACGAATGTCAGTTTTATTAAAGAAATGACCCATACCAGACGGTTATTTCTGTCTAGAGAAGAGTGTGTTATCTGTGATATGACAACATGTACTTTAATCTTGATGTCTATATCACCTGATTTATAACATGCATGTGTGGTTACACATGGTTATATGTTTATTTTAATTCATGACAATCATGTTTCTTTTTTAAACTGCAAAAGATTTGTGTCACAAAACTCTTACATGCTTCACGTGGGGCAGTTGCATATTGTATTCAAAATTTCTAGCATCAAATACAATTATTGCATTATACATATATAACACAAAAATGTTGAGTGTGCAGAAATTTTTGTCCCATCTGCTTGTGTATCTGGCATAATTTTTAGGGCTTTGTATCAAAAGTTATTGAGCCAAAAAACACCTAAATGTGTAAAAAATAAATTGCAAAAGAGTTAAGATCAGTATATCACCAGTACCCGAATTATGCTTCCACAGCTTGGAGTTGCTCCATCGCTGCTTCGGAGCCAAGTTGTTGAAGACGGAGATGGAGGTCAAATACTTCCCGTACGGGGGCTCCATCGTAGACTACACCTGTGAGATGTTTGGGGTCAGTTTGGGCGTGTCTGTTACCAGGGCGATGAAGTACAAGGGAGAGTTTGAGAAGGAGGATGCAGAGAAGTTGTTGGGCAAGAAGTTGAGGGGTGAGTTGAGGTCGTCCATGTATGGGACATCATAATGACTAATTAATAGTATTAAAGCTCATTTGTATACTGAGAAAAAAAATGTACATTAAATATCGCATCGATCCCCAGTTATTCTTTGGGCAAGGGGTGAGGCACATATTGTCTCCAATTTTGCTGACAAACCCCTCCCGCCGCCTCCTCCCACATTTATCAGCACCTTGTCTATGAAAATCAAAGAAGAAATGGATTTTAATCAATTTTGGCTGAGGGGAGGGGGGGGGGGACACAGCTCTTGTGGTGTTTTATAATATATGGTAGATTTCCTCAGCCCCCCCCCCCCCCACCACCACCTGACATCCATCCATTAGTGATTGTTGCACTTCGTGAAAGCAGTTGCAAAGATTTCAACATCAGTAAAACTGTACGATTTATAAAAGAAATTACAATGTGAATGTGTCACTGTGATTATAAAGCGTGACCACAGAGATTTGAATCTCTGCGGCCTGATCCTGCATGATTTCTTTACGGGAAATTGTTATTGTCACACACTGGATGTTGTCCCAGACTCTCATTTAATTTTGTTGAAGATTGTGACATTAGAGTTAATTCTTCACAACATTTCAATTTGATATGAATACATGTACAAATTGTACATGCATGATAGCTGAATATGCATGGTAATACGGACACCATCTTTATTACTACCTCTACTTCATTTTCTTGTTCTCAGGTATCGTGAACGCTACCCAGAATGCATTGGACAAATGGTCCAAACAGATCCTCCACATTTGGGCGACCTCCTCCAAGGTCGCTGATGTCTTAACCTCTGTTTACCGTGACCTTTCACCTCAGTTGAGAATCAATACTGTTGTATTGGTTACCATAGTAACCACTCCCCAGCATTCCTTGTTCAAGAACTCAAGATGACCCAAGCTAGAATCTGTCGATAGAATATCATTTTCCTGGAAATCTATCTAGTTTTCCTTCTGCTCTTACACCGATCTGTTGAAATAATGTATCTCTTGAATATTAAGTTTCTATTACATGTATACATTCTGACACTACCATGTTATGTGATAGTGATAATCAATATTTTTTGAAATATTACTAGAGCTTTCATGTTTTATATCCATTTTGATATTTTTTTACCTAGTATTGTTTTGTAAAAATCCTATGCAAATTTCTAAGAAAGCTGTAATCTTTTAAAAATTGGTAACTCTTCGTGCTTTCATGTTCTGTAACTTTATGCAATTTTTTTTAAAGAGGTTGAACTTTTTACCATGTGACTGAAGCACACATGCATGCTATGGTATGAAAAATAACATTTGGTGAAATTTTTTCGTCACAATTGTATGCGAATCTGATCAGTGCGAATATGAAATATTCTTTTAATAGCAGCAGGGACTAGCATTGTAGGCAGCCCCCACAAATAAAAAAAAAAGAAAAGAAAATGCAATAAATTATCAATAATTCATTGCATTTTGCCCCTATCTCAAACATAACAAAAATCCTCTGTGTGGCCATGCCTTGAACCATAATGCATGGCCTATAATTTGTATAGAAGGTCATCAATGGTCTAAATTTGTGCAATATTTGTAATTTCTAATGAGATTATATATGTTTTAAAATTAACCTTATGAGTTTTTGCTTTTGCCCATAAGGCCAAAAAAAGGAGAGAGAGAGAGAGAGAGAGAGAGAGAGAGAGAGAGAGAGAGAGTTAAAAGGTAAAGGAAGGGGGGGGGGGGAGAGATATGGAGAGAGAGGGGAAAGGGGGGGGGGGGTAGAGAAAGAAAGAGGGCTTGAGAGAGTGAGAGAGAGTGTTCAACTCAAAGCATTACAGTAAACCATTTGTTTGTTGCATGATATTGTATATCGTTTTATAATTTTGTATTTCAAACTGTTTTGTTGAGGAGCATTTTTCTGTTTCACCAATAACTTATATTTAATAAAAAAAAAACATATGACTGAAAAGAGTTTACCGTAATTGATAATGATGAGGGAAAAAAGGGATTTAATGTAGGTGTCATGTCTCACATTCGACTTGGAAAATATAAAGATCAGATATTTTTATATAAAATGTCAATTTTACAGAGTAATCAGAATATCTTGTAACCTGTGCATTTTGATGAGCATTGTGAAAGGTACAGTCAGTTTTAAACTGACAAAACTAATTTGGCTTAATTTGAGACTATCTTTATAAAAGGAACTACTAGTATTCAGCATAGAACTGGTAATGCAGGGCATGTACCAGGTGCATATTTTTTTTGGAAAGCTAAATATTAAAATATTCTCAACGTACAATATACATGTTTTGCATCTTTACTCTTTCTTTTCAGTGATTTGTTTCTCCTAATGACTAGTTCGAATTTGCACATGATGCAGGAAACCTTAGCGGGTTGCCAAGGTGGATTACTTTTTTCCAGGAACTAAATGAAATGAAAAGTATCTTCATGCAACATAAATTTTTGCAGTTCATGGCATCATCATACGCGAACAATTTATATTTAGGGTCAACTTGATCACACATTGTTCTTCAAATAGGCAACAATCACGTTTTTCTTTTATTGCTACATCGTTCAAATGATATGTGATATATCTGAAAACAATATATATGGGTGAGAATGTTGTAAACAAATTGAAATATTTGCCAATTTTGATAGAAAAACAATGATTTTTGAATATTTTGACGTGTTGCCAATCATGATTTTAAAGCTTATTTTTTCCTTATTAAAATTCCTAGCATCGAAACGCTGTATAGTCATGAATAAAAAATGGACGCTGTGTATGCAGAATTTTTTAATCTTAAATTTAAGGGCTCTGGGGTCAGTTTCATAAAACTTGTTATCTATACCAAATGCTAAATTTCTATGACAAATATGCTCTCAGCCAATCACATGCCATAATGTCAGTAGCTTATAACAGTAGCTTGTAACGTGATATTGATATCAAGTTTTATGAAACAGGGCTCCGAATCAAGAGTTCTGGAGCCAAACCACAACATGTGGAATGATTGTCGCAAAAGGGTTAAAAAGGAACATCACACAGGTCACAGGCAAGGTCACAAACAAGGTCACACAAAGCCAGCACTTACCAAAAATGAAGAGAACAACAGATTGTTAACAATTATTATATATAAAAGTTTAATTTTAAATCAATCTACTGACATCTTTAATGACATACATGTACATATAAACCGAGTACAAATAAAAGTAACATTTAAAAAATAAACGATTTATCATTAATCTTGGCATCAGAGCCAGGTTTCCATGACAACAAGTATATATGTATATCTTATAAATACAAGGAAGTTTCTTGAGAGAAATTTCACGATATTATTTTTGCAGTAACTCCCAGTTTCTCATTTGTATGCAGACGATGTGTACATGATTTCCATACTGAGCAGTTGCAACCAAATTATTTCTCAGGTTTTTATCATCTTGTATGTTCAATGGCAGTTCGAAGTGAAGAGACCATGAATGACCACCAAAAAAAAGTTTATTGCTGTTTGATCTACAAGCAGTTTGTCTACTTCCCGATTGGTCTTTTCCCATAATGACCTGGTACACCCAGTCTGTCTATGATCTACATGGTCTATTACTCATTTTTATCATAGATATTAATCATTGAATGATTATTAGACCTTATGGATAGTACAGTTGTAGATGAACTAGGCAGGAGGCAAACTGGGAATTAGACTCAACTTGTTATTAGACTAAATGAGCAATAGACCAAATGGTTAGTAGACTTATTGGAGATTAGACCAAACAGAGATTAGACTAAATGGCTATAGGCCGAAATGGACATTATACAAAATGATAGACCATGAAAGATTATTAGACCATGTGGATCATAGACAGGTTGGGTGTAGACCATATGGGAATAGACTGGCTGTGTAGTAAAAAGGAATTGGTTGTAGACCAGGGAAAAGAATGTTGGGGGCTACTTTCAAAGCATGCCTGCATAAAAATAACTCTAAAATTTGTTTTGCATTGAACTCTATGCAAATTTACGGGGGCTCTTTTCTGATTTTTGGGGGCTCTTTTGGGCATTTTTGGGGCAAATTTACCCTGAGCCCCTGTGTATTTTTTCACTGAGACATCCCGCTTTGTGCATTTCAGAATAATCACTGCCAAGGTGACGAAGGTGCTTCATGAATACCTTTTGTTTGACCTCTAGAGGAGAATACTTCCATGTGTATGTGCCGTCAATGAACAAATGAATGGTTACATAACTTTCATGAGCACGAATTCAGTATTCGTCTCAATGGGTGTATACCTTTTGTTTGCCCTCTTGAGGAGAATAAATGTACTTTCACATGAGTATTAGAGAATATGCCGTCAATGAACAAATGAATGATTACATCATAAGCATGAATCCAGTATTCATCTTGATTTTACAATTTTGGGACAAATGACCCTTATCTGACCATGCACAGATCGTTTTTACGAACTGGTTTATTCAGATAATCTCATTTCAATTACAATGATCTATCAAGCCACAGGCCCTAAAGACCATGCTTAATTATATTCTTTTTCTTGCAAACGTGACTTAGATCATAAAACATGTATAATAAATCAGAATTTTATATTTTCTCACCCACAATTGATAAATGACATGGACTCTTTTCTCACGATGAAATATCTTAGTTTTTTTTTTACTATTCTTTTTTTGTCATAATATATAATATTTTTTAACTTTACATCAGAATTTTATATTTCCCCAAATATCTAACATAAAAACATAAACGTAAATTTCTTAATAATAATAATAATAATAGCTCGTTCTTATATAGCGCTTTTCAGGACCGGAGATGGTTACACCTTAATATAAAACACAAACCTCACAGTTATGCATTTATCTGTAATTCAGTATTTTTCTCACACAGATATTATTATTTATCCAAGAGTCATCCTAGCACCTTTTAAAAGCTGTCATTCCATATATATGCAATGCTATTATACATACACAAATCTCTTTTTTTCCTTCCCTCCTTATCCCAAACTACCTATTAATTATAAACATAAATTTATGGCACAAAATAGTAAAACATAATTAAAAAGTTAAATGATTACGAACTACTTTCCAAATATGATTGCACTTAGATACAAAAATTTATATGTATCTTAAAAGGACTGTGATAACTCAATACAGGTGAAATTAATAACAAAAGTGGAAAGAATAAGAGAAAGTGAAATTAAGTTCCAATAGCAACAGACATTAAATTAAGAAAATTTGTTAAAGGATGAAATAAAACAGAACAATTTAAATCAAAACGTAACAATCAAAAGGTAATTAAGAATAATTTATCAGAAAATCACATTAAACAAGGAAAGCCTTTACGTCGAGTCTCTACATACCTAACAAAACAAAAGAAAACAATGGGTAAAAATAAGTTTTTATACACTGTAGAACATTGTTTGAAACAACAGAGTAGTGTTCTCATTTACTTTTCTAACCCCAACAAAGTTTTGAGAATCATAAGGTCTCATCCAGATATGATGCTGTAAACCATGAAATTTCGAGGAAAACATATGATGACAAAACTGTTAGACATTTACAAATTATGACAAATTTACTCTCGGTCAGTCAAATGCCAAGATTTCAGTAGTTTATAACAGCTATTGTTACCTGTCATTGATAACAAGTTTTATAAAACAGGACCCAGATTTAATCTTTTTTTTGGAAGGGGGGGGGGGGGGGGAGGGTTGAAAATGTTGTTTCAAACAATGTTCTACAGTGTATAAAAACTTATTTTTACCCATTGTTTTCTTTTGTTTTGTTAGGTATTTTAAAATACATACACACATGCTCCCATTTGAAATCCTAGATTGTTTTGTTGTATTGGATTATATTTTACATACACATTAATGATAATAGTGGGTTCTGATATGTTGCACATTTCTGTCAGCCATGACACACCTGGCGCTCCAACATTATTATCCTGTTGAATGTTGATAGCCATCGGCAAAATATGCATTGATCTAGCATATCGGGTACATATACTGTACACCTAGGTGAAGGGTGGCAAATGCGATTAATTAATTTCTTGTCAAAGGACATTAGTGGCGGGCAGAGAATTGAACCTCAATCCTTGGATAGAGAGCCAAAGTTAATGAACCACTATACCACAGCATTTGATAATATCAAACTTTGGCAGACCATGTCTTTGATAATGATAAGGGAATTCAAATTCAAGTAATATTAACTCAAAGTAACTGTGATTTGTTTATTATGGAGTAGTTGCTTTTGTTTAGTTTAGACCAACGAAAAACAGACAAATGAAAAACAAAAACTTGCGGGGAAACATGTTCAGTGAAAGCTACAGCTCACTTACATCAGCACATACTGGTATTTATATGAGGTCATGTGATATGAACGTATGTCGGAATGAGCATGTTAGTTTGAATGTCTCATATTTTTCATAGATCAATGCATCATTACGGTAGATACGGTAGTCTATGGACATTTCCTATGCTATATTATACATATTTGGGTATCGTCATCACATTCACAGATGGAAAAACTAAAATTGCATATTTTGTGAATCCTAACACATATCTAAACACATCATGAACATGTTTTTTCTTTAAACAGGATCAAATAGCCCTAACAAGTCGAATATTATGAATGGCAATATGCCGTACGGCCTTCTGCAGCATAGCAAGGATGTTTTTCCATAAAGGATAAATTTAAAGAATTCAGTAACATGGTCAAGTATTGTTATGAAGCATATTAATTTCAGCAGTCTGCTAATGACATACCCTAGTTGAACTACCGACATCATCACAGCTTGCAACATGGCACTGTACATGTATGCACTTTTAAGTATGAACATACTACGCCTGTCTTCACTATCTCGAGATTGCCAAATATCCAGCTATTTGAACTATACCGATCGCAAACTATCCAGCTAATTTGCGTCTTCATCAGACTGAAGTAGCAATTAGCAGGATATTTGGTCGGGGATTGTCATCCCAAGATATCTTGGGATAGTTTGCAAAATATCCCACTATTTGGCAAAATATCCAGCTATTTGTCCTGTGCGTCTTCACCAGACCGAAGACTCGCACTATGCGCTAATGCTGAGCAAAATATCTCGAGCTAATTCTCAAAGTCGAGTTTCGAGATTCGAGGTCGAATCTCGAGCTGATGAAGACGCGATTTGTAACTTCAGGTTTATTTCCCAAATCAGAAATAGCGGGCTATTTGGCAATCTTGAGATGATGAAGACGCGCCTTTAGTGATGTCGTGATGTAATCTCTAAAAGCAAAACAGGCAGTGTGTCATAATCTTGTTATCACTATCTTATTAAAATTATTGATGTATGATATACTGAAATTCCTGAATTTGATTGGCTATGAGCACACTTGTCAAAGAGATATATAGCATTTGCTATAGATGACAATTTTGTTTCTTATGAAGCAGGGCCCTTAATCCAACATACATGTACAGTACAGTCAAACCTGTCCATCAAGGCCACCAAATGGAAGCAGAAAAGTGACTGCTGTAAACAGGAGGCCGCTATACAGTGAAACCTGTACATAAAGACCGCACAAGGGAAACATGAGTAGTGGTCTCTGTTGGCAGATGGTCTTCATATGTACAAGGTCCTTCAGTACAGGTTTCAATGGGAAACCGTTTTCAAGGGAAATGCAAAATGTGGTCTTTATAGACAGGTCTTTCCATACAGGTGGCCGCTACTAAAAGCAGGTTTGACTGTAATATAGATGCGGTCATTTTGACAGGTTCCATTTTAGACACCTCAAACAATCTTTCTCCCTGTCTTCAAATACCACTGATGCACATCTCATGGGGGGCGTTTCAAAAAACTTGTCATCAGTGACAAATGACAGTTTGTGATATACCGGTAAGCTACTGAAATCCTTGCTTGTGATTGGTTATCAGCAGATTTGTCAGTGATTTTTGTCATTTGCCATTGAAAAAAGGCTTTGTGAAACAAGCCCCTGGCCTACTATTTCAATATCCCTCTAATTCTTTACAATACAAAATCTTACACGAACATGTCACCTCCGTCGTCACTCTTTTAGAATTAGCCGGTTTCCATGGCGATCATAAAAAGCTCACTGCAGAGTTATCATCATATCAAGCGCCCTCTTTACATCCCGTTGACTACTGAATTCTCTAATCCCAATAGACTTAATACAGGAAACACCTGGCTCCAGAATGTAGAGGGTTAAGAAATGATGGCTATAATCAAGTCACAGGTTCCTACACGCTGTCCTTCATTTTAATTTTGTGGCCAGTTTGCCTGTATCTTTCTTCGTTACCCTCTGGGCATCTCTCTCCATCTTCTTCCGTCGTTGCTCGGCAGCGCGTCTCTCCCGCTCTGCTAGCTTCTTCTCCCTGATGACCTGGTCCGCCTCCCAAGCCAAGTCGTCTCCGGCCTCCTCCCCCCAACCATTGTCGTTTTCCGACCAAGCGCCTAGCTCATCCTGTAAAAAAAAATAACATTGGTTCAAATGAGTACTAGATTGATCCTGGCGCAGATAAAAAGAGCTTCCTCCCCCCAACCATTGTCGTTTTCTGACCAAGCGCCTAGCTCATCCTGAACATTAAAATTAAATTGGTTTAAATGAGCACTAGATTGATTCTGGAACAGAATAAAAGAGGAAAATTGGAGATGACTATTCCATGAGCATCTCCCCATGCAAGACTGCTTGACTAGCATAACATGGAACTTTAAAAGTGCAGTGTCTTTTTTTGATTTTACATTACCATTATACAGAATAAAATTTGCAGCTGATGTGTCGGATTTTAAAGGGATGGTCCACCTTGATATTAAGTAGGTTTTAATAGAAGCACAAAAATGAGAGAAACAGGTCACTGAAAGTTTGAGCAATAACCGATTAAAAACGAGTTATGAATTTTTGAAGGTGCGATCACTCAAACACAAATTGGCAACTCTGTGAAGTATCTTGCGAGTTTCCCTCCCATTTGCTCAAAGTTTCACTGACCCTCTTATTTTGTCTGCTTCTATTAAAACCAACTTAATATCATGATTGACACATACCAATATTTAATTGAGAGATTGATCCCCTGTAAAAGAAAGGCTCTCAACTTCCAACTCAAAGGTAAAACCCGTTAATATAAAGACCACCCAAGCTAAACCAGGAAAGTGATCTTTAGGTATACGTTCATTTAGTACATGTTTCAATGAGAAACACTAATCGAGCAAAGGGAAACAGATATATACCCTAGACACTTGTTCATTCTAACTGCTATTCATCTATGTAAGTCTCTCTCTGGCATTAAATGCTTTCAAAGGTATAGACCAGATTTGGAAACGCCTCCCTCTCAAAAAATGAAATGGAAGCTCTTATTAATACCAATCATGTGAAAGAATATGTTTTGACGAATATGTTTTGACTAATACGTGATGATACAAATTTTGCCAGGAAACCGCCTACTAATTGATATATTTGGTAAATTATTATATCTATCCGGACTGGATAGATATCACGCAGTCCCATATACATCTTTCTGTGTACAGTGCTTGTAACTTTACCAAGACTGGGCCAAATTTCTTATCATTTTGATGATTCCAGAATCTTGAAGTATACACACAAATACTTGATGTGTACATGATCGTTTCTTTCACAATGCAATCGCATGACCAGAACTCCACTTTATCTTTAAGCAGGTTTCACTGCATATAAGGAAGCAAACATGTATGAACAATAGTGCCTACCGTTAGTACTGCTGTTTCATCCATCCCTAAAGTAAGCCTGTTGGAGAGGCCTTGAGTTAATGAAGACGGACCGGGTATCATCTGAGGAGTCTTCTTTCGTATCGTAGGCTGGTGGAAAAAAAGTGAGAAAAAAAATTCATACAGTGCTTTTTAGACTTAATAGGGAATATGAGACACACACATAGACAGGAAGAAAGGGAGAGAGAGAGAGGGAGAAAGCGAGAAAAACGGACAGAAATGCAATAAAGACAGTCAAGATACACACATGAGAGTGTGTGTGTGTGTGAGAGAGAGAGAGAGAGAGAGAGAGAGGGAGGGAGAGGGAGAGACAGATAGAGAGACAAACAGAGACATTGTAGCAAGCCCATGATAAAGATAAGAAAGGCAAACATATAGTGATAAATAGAAAGATGATACAAAGGGATAGAAATATATTGAAAGAATAGTTTTTTGGATAAGGGACAAAACGATCTGCTTTCCATAAAATACTCAAATAAATCTTTACAGCTTTTAGAATAATAAAAAAGAACGCACATTTTCAAGTCCCATTTTAAATAGTTAATAGCTCTACCGGTACTAGCTTTACTGCACTTAAACTTTGATTGCAGGAAACAGAATTTTCAAAATAAGGGTTAAACGTTTGTTTCTTCCTTATCTACATTACAACAGGAAATAAGTTGGGTCATAAATAATCAAACCTATACCATTTATAGAAACAAGACATTATTGTACACCACTCTGCACCAATGGGTACAATCTATTCCTTAGTCAGTAAATCCATGAATCACTTACAGGTTTCTTATATCTTGGCGTCATATCTGCAAAATAGTCCACATGATCTTCCTCCTCCTCATTTTCCGGGTTGCTAAGCGACGAGGGCGCTGTTTGGTTACTAGGTGCGACTGTGGGAGTGGTCGGGTCGATCTTGATGCTCATAGTCGAACCGTCCCCCCAGTCATCCCACGCAAGGTCAACCTGATCAAGAGAAGGAAAGAACAATATTAATTAGCTGCATTTACACTGCAACCAAAAATCATTGATTTTTCAACATTCCTGTGTTTCGTCGGAAGACGTATAGAGTAGCAACTACCAAAAAATCCACCTCTGGAGTGTTGTTTCTTGAAGCGCTTGCCAACATTTTACAGATTTTTGCAGTGTAAATACTCACACTTTAAACTTTCTTTTCAATTGAATAATTCTTTCTTTTAAATTAAATACTTCTTTTTCATGGATGAAACAATGCACAATGGGTGCAACAGAAATAGATTGAAATTATTCTGTGATTTTGCCCTTTCTGCTCATGTTTATAATACATAATATATATCAACAAGTAATGCCCAAAAATATCACTGAAAGGAGACATCTAAAACAGAGAGGAAGTTGCCCATGAATAATAGTAGACACGTAAGTAATGAAATTATCATCACAAAATTGTGTGAGACATTCAAAATCTTAGAAATTAAAGTGAACCGGTAACATTGTTGAAGGTTGATGAAAAAACTGCGTAATTTTTGTATGAAATGTTACAAATTCTATTCCTTCTACTGAACTAACCCTCTAACATGCAAACAATCATAACAAATTCTCAAACCACAAAGATATTTATGGTTTTCTTTGGAGGTGGCACTGTGCGACACCCTCTGTAAGGCTCTAACAGTAAATTACAAATAACAAATATTTCAGCAATTAAATGTTTGGAATGGTATATACTGTAGAGCCAATTCACTGCTTTATCACAATTTACATTCACCTAAAATGTAATTAAATTATAATAATATAGTTGGGAGAATTAAGGAATTGATCTGATCAGTTTTCCCCAATATTTATCATTATTAATGGTCTATTTTTACTCAAACTTTCAGATTATCTTTGATTGTACATTTAGCACTGAAGTCCCTATCTCAACACCATTTTCTCTCATCTGAACAATGTTACAAAGTCCCTTTAATGGGCAGAATCTTACTAGGTGATTAGTCCTATCTAGATCACAATTAACCTATCCAAGGTGAGTCTTTGTTTGCTGGGTTTTATTATGTATTAAACAAATATTGCATGCTCTGGAATTCAATACAACAAAATACATGAACCGGCAAATTCTGAATTTGGAAGTGAATAGAACAAACCTCAACGATGCATGCAATATTATAAAGTCATGGGTTTTTTGAGATCTCATGTCAGATGCACGTAGCTTAAACACTGCAAAACAATGGATGGGTACGTGTAGGGAAGAGAGGTGCGCAGTCTAATTCACTTTCGTATGCAATATTCTATGTTAAAAAGGTTGTCGCCTGTCACATGACGCCTTTTTAGCCAATAGGACACTCCCTAACAAAAAACCCATTTGTATTTTAAACCAACATTTCCCTGTATAGATATGTTTGCGAATTAATGGCCCAGGGATACTTTTTCGCGAATGACCTGCAGGCTAAAACAGAACTCACATGTACTTCTGTATACTCTGCGCCCGCGCTGTGTGAAGACACACACACTTGTTTTTGTCTTCAAAATGCATGCATCCGTTTGCTGCACTGCATGAATGTGCTGATGCATCTAGTAAATTAGAATTACACAGATATTTCCACGGTCGGAATGCAACAGTGGCAATATTCCGCCAATTTGTGATCAGTGAGTGATTTACAAAATTAGCAACACCCAATCATTGTGACATGAATTCCAGCCCCTGGAATATTAAGGTGAGTTCTGTTTAAAAAAAAAAAAATGAATTCTCACAGAATCAAACGAAACTTACACCGAATGTTCAACATTACAAATAAATGTCATTTGCCAAACAATTTTGGTAGAAAATGTATACTGGCTGAGTAATAAGCATAGAAAGATGAGGAAATCAAGGTACATATGTAAGTAGGCCCGACACCATTTTTATAGTCCCATATACATCTCTCTGTGTACAGTGCTTGTTACTTTACCAAGACTGGGCCAAATTTATTATGATTTTGATGACTCCAGGAACCTTGCAGTACACACCAATACTTGCATGCTATATGATCATCTTTTTCTGATCCATTCCACACCTTTCCTTTCACAATGCAATCGCATGACCAGAACTCAACTTTATCTTTAATGTCTACCAACCGAGTAAATATCTGTCACTCTACTTGTATTGCAATAAGGAACTGTGGAATCATGATCATGCCAAAATAAAAACAAAACCAAGTAATTAAAGCAAAAAATAATGGATGTTTTGATTCACGTTTTTTAAAATGTTAAACAAATCAGCGAATTAAAACGAGTTTTAAACATGCCCACTCTGTGCCCAAGTCACCTTTTCCCGGACTTTATTAACCAACTGTTTTTTCATAATTTCATAATTTGATGGCGTTGTGGCGTGCGCCTGTAATTCAGCTAAATGTGGAAGTTACAAACTGATTCGGCTGAGGATGCAGGTTCGAAACTGAGTCACGTCTTTCGGACAGTGACGTTTAAAGGTTGGTCCCTAGACGTAAATAATCATATCTGATTGATACACGTCTGTAAAAACCCAATACACACACACACACACTGCCTGTAGAATCTATTTGAAAAAGAAACACCCCCCCCCCCCCCAAAAAAAAAAAAAAAAAAAAAAAAAAAGTGACAATAACACGTTACACTAATGAACAACCATACATATATAGTATTGCCCTGAGTATTCAACTTACACCTGAGGTGTTGGCATAGTTTTTAGCACACGTAGCGTATAGAATTGACTCCAGTATTAAACTTACACCTGAGGTGTTGGCGTAGATTTTAGCACATGTACATATAGAATTGACTCCAGTATTAAACTTACCCCTGAGGTGTTGGCATAGTTTTTAGCACTGGACCCGTTGGCAGAGGAACTAGGTCCGCCTCCCCCTGGACCTGATCCTTTGGTAGGTAGACTAGGATCACTAGAACGTCTCCGTCGGAAGCGGAAGATGGTCCTCTTGATAAAGGAGTAGAAATACGCAAGGCAGGAGCACAGTAACCATGGCGACAACTTCATGATGATGATAATAATGATGATGGTAATTGATGAGTTGAGGATGTCACTCTGTACTTGGGAGTCTTACAAATAATCTGAGAGAGAGAGGGGATAAAAAGTCTTGAATGATCTTGAACGATAAGGTTTTTATTCTCACAGCGTTAAGGTCATACCTTTTCACACATATGATGCAAGCTTGACTATATAGCAACCTCGCACAGACTGAAATTCAGGCATTACATACACGATGGTAAAATTGTGAGTGGGTTTACAAACAGAAAAAAAATCCCAGGGAACTTCACTTGGAGCAAAATGAAAGAATCCAACCCAAGGAATTGTAGCGTAAGGAAGAATGTTTTTTGGACTCTGTGTTCCAGAATTATTTGAGTTCCCTTTTTTTTTCTTCTACGGTATCTTTTCCATTCTAAGAACATTTTCTCTTCTTATATCGCCCCCTTTCCTTTTTAAGTGCCCTTTTTTCTTTCTAATGAGTGTCCCTTTCCCCTTTTTAGATGTTTCCTATTTTACCTTTGATAAATGGCCCCCTTTCTTCTTCATAATAGTGTAATAATTTATTGTCCTTTTCAGGAAATTTGGTTTCCACAGGTTACAGAGTATTACAATACAAATATATAAATGAAATATTACAGGACAGTGATAAACATACACATGTTATAAACATACATAATGAGTGAGGTAATATATGAGTAAGCCACGGTATATATGGTGGTTACAGAGGTAATATCAGATTCCATTTTACAAAATATGAAGCTAAATTATTTAAAATCATTGATTATTCCAATCTTATTATTGGAATCTGTGCATGTCATTACGAACTCGTAGCTCGTGCACAGTTTTTCCATTATATTTAATAATTTTGCCTTCGGCGTAGACTAGAAGGGATGAGATTTAGATGACGTCACGCGCGCGCAGCAAGAGTTTAAAGTTAAACTAGTCTACCGCTGCAAGATTTTTATCATGGATGTCGATTTTGACGCATAATTTCCTAAAAATGGACCATTAAACAGATTATTTCAGTCAAGTTGGTAAGTGGAACCGAAGTAGTTAAGCCTAGGTCTATGGCTATAGATCTAATTTACAATATAAAATGCAGCTGATATGCATCATGTGAAAGGAGTAATTCGGGGATAAGTTTCAAATTTAGTGTGTAAATTTACACACCTTTGGCGGTATGGTCGGCTTCCGTCTCTAAAGAGAGAGCCAACCCTACCCAAATAAGAGGCTTAACAAACGAAAGAGACAGAAAATTTGGTCTAAGCTTTTACTACACAGCCAGTAGGTATAGCGATGCTCCTATGTGTGGGTCAGGGCAAGGGTCTATTTCTAAGCCGCGCCGCGCCACGCCAACCCGGCGAGATCATCATTGCACTAGACTAGACCTAGACCGTAGACGGTGACATGAATTGCCTGGTAGTGCCTCCTGCACTGGGTGCTACTGACGTCTAGCCACTAATTTCTTATTTGCAGATCTAGACTCCTGATTGAACCTGTTATGCTGTAGACTATTATTAACTCGAAAATAAATCAAACTTACCACTTTTCTAGTCAGAAGGAAGGGAGCACAGAACCCATATGAACTTCTCGGCGCTAACTTCTACACCACCGACCGATCGCAGTCTGTTTCAGTTTTTTGTACACATCATCGTTTTCTATGCACCTATGGACGCAGCCATTTTGTTCTGTTAAATTAACGATATGTGACTACTGCCATCTCTTGGTCTTAATCTGACATCTTTCTTTAGACAAAAATTCATTTTTTTTTTTTAATTCTAGACCTATACTATCGAGAAAAAAAAATATCATCATCATCACTCATCATTTATCATTCTAATATCTTTGTCTGTCTGTCTATCTCTCTCTCTGTCGAGTTCTCTACTGAGTCATCTCTTTAACATGTATAATAATCAACACAATAACTCTAGTCTAAAGCTGGTTTTGCCTAGCTTTGCTACACAGTTCAAATCGATCGTCAAATTTAGAGTTTAATATTAATACAACAAAATTATATAATTCTCTCTCTCTCTCTCTCTCTCTCTCTCTCTCAGTCCTCTTGTATCTGTCGATCTCTCTTTCCTCTCTTTCTGAGTTCTCTACTATATACAGATATCGCATTTTCTTCTCTTTCTATAAGTTTCCCTTTCTCTTCTCTTCTCTTTTTGAGTTAACCCCCCCCCCCCCATTTTCTAAGGCTTTCTGATGGGTCTTAACTATTACTTTCTTTGAACACCTCTTTCTTAGATTTTTATACTATAATTCATCGTTCTTCTCTTCATGATTTCTCGTCTACTCTCTGTCTTTATTTTTGACTTCTCTTCTATCTCTCTTTCTTCTCTCACTGTATAATTATGTGTTCTCTCCTTTTCAGTGTTTTCTACTACTATCTCTCTTTCTGATTTCTATTCCTCTTTCTTCTTTTTTTCTGACTAAAAAACACACAGGCTTTCAGAGTTCTTTTCTTTCTTTAATCTCCGAGTCTTTCTGAATTCTCTGAACTATAATTTATTTTTCTTCTCTTTTCGAGTTCTCTACTATCTCTCTCTCTTTCTGCGTTTTCTATACCTCTTTTTTGTTATCGTTCTGAGTTCTCTACGAACTGTCTCTCTTACCTCTTTTCACGAGTTCTCTTCTACTACAGTATCCCTCTTTCTTGTTCTCTATCCCTCTTTCTGAATTTAAAAACTATCATTTCTGAGTTCTCTTTACTATAATTTACTTTTCTTCTCTTATCGAGTTTTCTACTTCTGTATCCTGAGTCTAAGTTGCTATCTCTCTCTCTCTCTCTCTGCATGCCTCTCTCTCGATTTTGCTTTTTCTTCTTCCTGAGTTCTTTTCTATTATTTCTCACACTATCGCAAAGACTTCGAAAAATAAAAAATACAGACAAGGTCAATTTCGATATCCTATTTTAGTCCTGTTTGGATTGCGTAAATACATCATTGTAATTTTCGCATACTTCGAAACGTAATGGACATATAGCCATATGAATTTCCATTTGATTTTTCGAAAGCATTTGGAAACGTGTTCCTCGAACTCTCCCCCGTTCTCTTCCCTCTTTTAGCCGACTTCTCTTATATATCCATTATTGTTCTCTCAGTGCTTCTTATTCTCATCATTGCGCGCGTATCTGTATTTGCGTGGAAATATCACTGAATTCCATTGTTTAGTTTAATTACTTGAGATGGATATATTGTGTGCATTGGACATGCTGCTGGGCCACAGGGGGGGGGGGGGGGTCACTCTCATACACACATGCTACTGAAAAGGTACCCTTTTTTGGTTTTTGTGCAATCAGTGCTTGAAAAACACCCCTTTTTAAGGAAAACGTAGAAAACGCCGAACTTGTAAATCTAAAAAGGTACCCTTTTTTGTTTTTTGTGCGATCAGTGCTTGAAAAACACCCCTTTTCAAGGAAAACGTCGACGGCGCCATTATAGCTGATAAAGACACCCTTTCGCCGCTTTTTCTGGACGCGGGTGCATAGCCAGTCATGTTGGGAGTGACCACCCAGGCCTCCTCCTTTACCCCTCCCCCTTCTTCTTTTTCCCCTTCTCCTTCTTTACATTATGATTATTATTATTACCATTATAACTACTACTACTGCCCAATCCTCCCCTTACTACTATACCATCACCACTATTATACAAATTAATGAACGCATTAAGAAAGTATACATGAAAGTGCTGCAAAATTTATTTATTTTTCTAAGAAGCTTGTTGAATATAGCATTAAGTACTGGTCATCCAAACCTCACCAAATATTCAGCTGATTGGTGTGATCCCCAAAAGTAATTGCATTCATTAGAGATTCTTTGCATAATCCTCCAAGTAGAAATATTGACAACTACAGTAAAACCTGCTTTATAGTGACCACTGTCTACAAAGACCACCTGTCTACAAAGGCCACCTGTCTACAAAGGCCACATTTGTTGTTTCCCTTGAAAATGGTTTCTCATTGAATCACATACTACTAAAGGAACCCGTCTACAAAGCTCACTTTTTGTGTTTCCCTTGGGCGGTCGCTATAGACAGGTTCGACTGTATACGGTAGCTGCTATATGACCTAAAATGTACATAGTAACATCATTTTGTAAATGTACATACAAATAATTTGAAGGATTTATAAATTTTACTGGCTCTTCTGGGAAGTAAATGTTTAGTTTCGGTAGCCGAGCTCTAATGCAAGAGAAAAGTTAGTATTTGAATTATTGCATAGTGCAATGACCTTGTACTGGATTCTCAAGAGTACGGGCAAGAGTAATACACTATTGCCCACACATTTAGAATAAATGGTAGTTTTACCTCTTTTCTTTAAAAAAGATTAGCACATAATTTATTCTTGATAGTTCAAATTTCAACCTAAACAGTCACGGAGAATGATCATTAACTTTCTGTGATATATAGGTTTTAACTATCAAGAATAACTTACAGAGTCACAATCTTTGTGCATAAGACTAGTGCAGCCTTTACATTCAGCCTAAGTAAGTTCCGAGTCTGAGTAATAAAAGATCATTATAGGTAATTTTTGAATCTCACATTACGTCTGATCTTTGAGATATCATCTTGAACGAATGATCCGATACAAAGAAACTTGAGATGCACATTTCATAATTATGAAACAACAACTCTTGGAAACAACCACCACTCAGAGATAGAATGACTTATACACTTTAAGCCAACCAATGATTGCAGTGTAGCATCTTTTTGTGCCATTCAATTTCAATAAGTACCTAACTTGCAGCTTCAATCATGCAATAAGTTGTTTAAACGCCAGCTTAAAACCTTTCAACAAAATCAAACTTAACCTAATCCCACACCTTCAATCGGTAAGAAAAACACCTTGCATATAAAACGAACATTAAAGAAAATGTGAATTACTCTACATTTACGATATGCATGTATAGTATAACAAATAAAAAACGACCTATCAGTAAATTGTATAGGCCGATCTTTAGTCAAAAGGTTACAAAATAACAAATTCTAAAGAAAATTCTCAGTAAAAATTCAACAATATAATATTTGTTCATCTTCCAGAAGTATTTCCAATAAATCAGTATTCAATAAATTGACGACATACTCTGTTATAAACATCTTCAACAAATCATTCCATGCGCATTGCATTATCAAGATACTTAATTACCATTATAACGAGAATCAATCAAAAACAGGGATCATATTTCAGAGTAAAAATTGTACATTTCTTACATTACAACATACCATGTACCTCTAGAAAAAATTAAAACAAAATTATGGCAGCAATAACAAAATATTGTTTTGATATCCAAACATTTTCCTTTCTCAGACTCTGGCAAAGTGTGCCGAAAGGGGCATCAGCTTTAAATTGCAATCAGAGACATGTCCCAACAAAAGATAAGGGGCAATGTTGCAGTGCCCCCTACCACTTCCACGACTCGGGAGTTTTTTCATCAACAAGAAATGATTTTTCTTTTTATCTATGCCTGGTGAAGGATACCTTACAACTGGAAAATGCTTGGATGCATATGTGACTGAACCAAAACGAAGTACAGCCAAACCTTTAAAATGGCAACCTCTCTATAACGGCCATCTGAAATGATTGTCTTTTATCAGTATATTTCTCTTTGAGAGAGAAATGTCTTAAAGTCCCACTGCACTACTTGTAGCCATTTGCGCCCTCTACATAACAAACAATGCATAATCGGTGACCATTGGTCCCCCATGACCCTCTTTTTCTTATGTTAATTGAGAGCTGAGTTGACGAGATAACCACCTGTCCAGTGACCTTGCAGGGTGGCCTTTCCTGTAAACTAGTACTGATGTGCTTTAAAGAGCCCGTCTAGAGTGGCCTGAAGTGTCCTACAGTAGCTACTTTTTGTGTTTGGAATTCCCTTGGGTGGCCTTTATAGACAGGTTTGACTTTACCAAAGGTTTACAGACTTTTTAATAAAATGTACATATATGATTTTTTTTTCTTCTTCAAAATGTATATATATGGTAAAAAAAGTATCACCCATCACCAATTAAATGATTAAACATGCTATAAAATACACAGACTGATGCATAGATAGAAAATAAACCAAGATATTTAGCATTGGATTCATTCAATAGTAGTACTGTTCAATTGAATATGGCTATCAACTTGTGCGCTAATTACAAACATTGTTACAAAACAGTCTAGCTCCCATACCTTGAAAATAGACATTGACAGGTGTATATATTTCTATGATAAATGTACAAGTACATCATATTCATATACAGTTACTCTAGTACTTATACACACCATTTGGCATAAAATATATTCTCTATACCGTACTTCTCCAAATTGTGCAATTGACAGTGAGGTCAGAGGTCATGCAAACCTACATGTAGGAGTGAATTACCCGTTCAGGGTTAACAAAAACACAACAACAACAACTACGTGATAACACATAATTCAAACCTCAAATTTTGGTATGAAAGACTAGGGGTGAACACACAAGCAGGGTGATCACAATTAAACCTGTACAGACTTTGAAACGTTCAGTTCTTGGATCCCCTAAAAATATATATTTTTGTTTTCACATGTTGGACTAATGGAAAGACTATTGCATACTCCACTCTTTTTATAAAAAAACTTCCTTTAATACAGCTTGCATAAGCTTACATTGAAAGCAAAATAGCAAATAGAGATGAAAGTATCAAAAACAAAACCCAAACTCTTCTTTAAAACAACACTGCACCAGCTCTTATGCCGATATTTTCGCCTTGAGATTAAAAAATATCTGTCTCTGTGTTATACAGGTAGTATTTCCATTAGGATAAGGCACGTTTTATAGGCAATCCAACCTACACTCTTTGTTCATATACCGGTAGTCTGTACATCTTGTAGTTCAAAATACATAATAAAAAGGACAAAAATGGACCCCCCCCCCCCATGCGCGGATCCAGGATTTCTTAAGGGTAGGGTCCCAAATTTGAAATCAATTTAGTGTGCTAAAATATGAAAATCGTGCCCGGCCAACATTTCGCTCAGTGGGGGGGGGGGGGGGGGGGGGGGGGGGGGGGGGGGGGGGGTAGGTAGCACATTTTTTTTTTGGGGGGGGGCCCTCGAAAATTTGAAAATTGGACCCCCCCTTGAGCGCCTGGGGGGGGGGCATCTAAAAAAAAAAGGTAAAATTAACGTTAAAAAAGGTAAAAATACACATTTTTTTTTATATTTCCATACCTGTGCGTGTATACAAAATTAAATTTTCATGAACATATAAAAGAATAAAGTGATTCAAGTTTTCTTGGGCTTTCAATAATATGTGTGGTTAATGTACCCCATACAATCAAGCCAAAAATTGGACATTATATTTCAGAGCGGGTACTACTGACATTTCATCAACAAAGTTAGATTTTTAAATTGTATTATTTATTTATTCATGTATTATCATTACTATTTTTGAAATATATTTTTTGGGGTGGGGGGGGGGGGGGGAGGGGCTATTTCAGTAATGCAGGGAAAATGTGTTATTATTCTCTTGTTGACATTTGACCCCACCCACGTCGATGCGATTGATGAATTACGGACAGTCCAACTCATCTTCTCCTGCTGAACAGTCTGGCCAAAAGTCACACACGTAACTGAGGGTAAAACACTGGCCATCGTTACAGGTGTACAGCATCGGACCACAGTCACCTGCACGTAGAAGATGGGCGAGAGAGAGGGAGAGGGAGAGAGACAGGGAGGGAGAGGGAGGGAGAGGGAAAGAGAGGGGGGAGGCAGGCAGGGAGAGAGGGAAAGAGAGAGAGAGAGAAAGAGGGGGAGAGAGAAATGGAGTGAGGGAGGGAGGGAGAGAGAGGGAGGGAGAGAAAAGGAGAGAGAGTAACGAATGTTTGAAATATGCCATCATTAAATCTATCCCAATCTCAAACTGACTATTTAATCAGTGGAATGACGTACATGTAGTCATGGACATCTCACCAATTATTTCTGTTTTTCTCTGAAGTACCTTCTCCCTTAGGGCACTATTCACAATATATAATGGATACCACATTATTATAGGTCGTCTAAAAATAAAAGAACCTCCTTGACCCTGGATCAAATCAATCGCAACTCTTTATATTCTCGGGCCCTGATTTATACATTTTGAAAAATTGAAATTTTATCAATTATGTGTGTTAAAACAAATGGGAGAGGCACTATGTCACATACTATACATTTTTTCAATGTGTTCATGCACCATAAAATTAATTGTAGGCTACCATTTATTGTCGAGGTTACGATTAATTGTAACTTTTATATGTTTATAGAGGTGATGTAGACAGGTAGTTTAATCATTTGACTAGAAATGCAGTGGTCGTGGGTTCAAATCCCGGCACAGCACTTATATCGATGAGCAAGGCATGCTATCTACATTGTTCCTCTCCACCCACGTGTTAAAGGGACTATGTCCCATTTGCAGGCCAAAAAAATGAAAAAGTTAAATTCCAACTGCATTTGAAAGATAATACTAATTTAGAACTTCCCTAAATAAGATGGGGCTTGAAAATGTCTTCAAGTGGGAAAATAATGACTATTAGTTGTCAAATCGACTTTAGGGCTATAGAGCCCAAAAGTAATAGTCTTGATTTTCAGACAATTGTACCGAATGGTCATACGTTTTATGCTGCGCAAAGATTCAATCAGTTTAATCTTGGCCATCGCAAGAAGTGGATTATTGATGTAGACAAATACCTTTTACAACTCTTTTCATGTATGTTATTACCAAAGAAGAAAAAAAGCCAGTCAGTCACTCAATAATGTCTGACAGTGAAGTCTAGCAAGTAAACGGTTTTCCTTGCATAATTTGAATATCAGGACACTGGTAACGTTTAAATTTCACAGATAGGACATACATGGCATATTCATAATTCCTGCAAAGTTCTACAGCATTTGAGGTTGGCTGCAAAAGGGACATAGTACCTTTAAAGGGGGTGTAGCTTGGTAAATACTGGTTAACGCCATCTACGTCTTCTTTTGGACAACTGCACTAAACGAATGGACTTGATTAATGGTAGTCAGCGACTTAATCTCTACATGGTCAGCGTAAGCGAAACAGACCAAAGTTCTCCTCACGCTTCGGTTTCTCGTACGTTGCACGCACGTGATTGCTGAGGTCGTGTCGTCCTTTGTTGTATTATACCCGATTGGCCCTGAGTCAGGCCACGGGAAAGACGCATAGTCTCCTCAGTCTACACTCCCTTTAAATTGGAAGGGCGCGAACGGTGTCGAAGTTGAATAATTGTGAGTGCCCATAAAAAAGCGACTAGCTGGAATGCTCCTCAAGGAGTGGAGAATGTGCACTGTAATGTGCAGAATAGTAATTAAATCCATGTCTAGGGTAACAATGATACCGTTCAGTTAATGGAAATGCGCTATATAAGAAACCAATATCATTATTATCATCATCATTACAGGACCTACGCGAAAATGTTTGTTAACAAAGGTGTAGCGCTAGTGTCTGGCAGCTCCCGATCACACTCTTGATTATTGCTTAAAATTACCTTGTTTTTGCAGTAACAGCTACTTCAAATTTATACCATGTAAAAGTTTAGGACTCAGTGATCATCATGGTCCTACTCAGAAGAAGGAGTCTGGTCTTATTTTGAGCAGTTTCTGGATATATTATTTCACTTTTCATCACAATCTGAGAGTCCAGCCAGATCTCCCAGCACCATACTTCCAGACTACTATTGTTCATGGTCATCCACTTGACTCATCACTGACAATAGTTGGTACTCTGAATGGCAGTGACCATCACATTGGCTATTCACTCTTCTTGGAAAGTGAACTGGACAAAGCCACCTGCCTACAAAGGATTCAGGACTGCTACAAACAGGATCTTACGGAATGTCCTGATCCTTTATCTACACCAATCACTCCATCTATTATAACAATAATGCTTCTTGCTTCAAACCCTGACTGTACAGTTACTGCTACAAGAAAATATAGCATAGGGTTTCTTCATAAGCTGAATGCTGGAGTATCTACTTTTCATGAATGCTCACTATCATCGCAGTTGTGTTCCAATTTATCGGCCCTGGGCCTGTTAAGATCACCGTGTGCTAAACATGGATGGGGCCTCGTTCACCCTTCAACTTATCGACGACGAACAAGACGCTTATTTAAAGGAGGAAACCGCAGTAAAAGCAAGTATGGTTTGCCGATCCTGATCATTACTGGGTTTCCTTCATCTTCCGATACACATATATATACACATCCTGAGTTTGTGAAGACGTCTGTGCCCAAAAGTTGCAACATCAACTTGATAACATTGACTGATCAGACTTATCCAAAGGATGACCATCTGTCGTTCTGTATGTTGAATGCCAGATCACTCCGAAACAAATCTACAGAATTCCAGGATTTTATATTGGAAAAAGACTGTGATGTCGTGGGAATCTGTGAAACATGGCTTACTCCGGATGACGATGCAGTCATCGCTGCCATCAAGCCTGCTGGGTACAGCTTTATAATCTCCCGAGGGCATGTAAACGTGGAGGTGGAGTCGGCCTCCTTTACCGCAGTGAATTGAACGTGATGGTCAACCCTCCATCAGATTTTCAATGCTTTGAAATGTTGTCAGCTACCTTGACTTCCAAGAATACCAACGTGGACGTTGTTATCATATACCGTCCTCCAGGTAACTCCGTTAAGTATACAAGTTTTCTTGACGAGTTTTCAAGCATGCTAGACGAACGATTGCTGAAACCCATGTCGCTTATCATCACTGGG